ATAATTATGTGACGTGCAGCATATTTTACCTGTGTGCATGGGTCTGTGTGGGATGGATTTTCAAAGAAGTCATCAAAGTGTTTGGCATGTTTTCCTGACACAGTGGCTGATTTCACTGTAAAAATATGAGCGATCATTTCCTCCACAATAGGTAATATTTTCCCACTGTGATAAGTGATGTATAGCGTCTTGATTAAGTCTATATTTATTCTCTTCTGATTGGGGATGCACATTCACCCATAAAGTCATGATCCTTTATGGTTTTCTTTTCTCTGTTGTAAAGATTGACTTATTATGTATACAGTGTCCTGCCTGCGTGTCTCCCTGCACACCAGAGGAGAACACCAGATCTCATTATAGATAGTTGTGAGCCACCATGTGGTTGCTGAGAATTGAACTCAGGACCTCTGGAGGAACAAGCAGCCAGTGCTCTTAACCTCTGAGCTATCTCTCCAGCACCTTTTTTTAAAGGAGACATGGGTTTCATTTTGTCCTTGAGTTTCTGGCCTCAAATGATCAACTGTCTCATCTCAGCCACCCTCATAAGGGCTAAAGGCCGTGTTAAATGTTATGTGTTTGGTCTTGTTCTTAGGTACGTTAGTTATTTCTTTAGTCTTTGCCTCTTTTTCTTTTAGGGATTCTATGAATTGCACTATGATTTCATCTTCCTGTGGCCCTCTCTGCATTTTCTTGTCTAGTGACATCACTCACTGGATTTGGGCCTGCTGTAATCCAGAATGGTTTTATTTCTAGATCCTCAGTTATATCTGTATAAATCTACCCTTACTTTGCTTCTAAACTGTCCCCAAACACCGGGTAGACAACTTCCATGCCATTCCACCTGTGGTAGCTTCATTTCCTGTCTTGAATGAAACACCCTGACAAAAAGAAACAAAAGGAAACTTGCAAGAGTTCATCATCCCAGGGAAGTCAAGGCAGGAACCTCAAGTAGCTAGCCATAGCACATCCATAGTCAAGAGCAGAGGGAAGTACATGCATGCTTCTTGCTTGTGTTCAGCTGGATTTATCCATGCTCACCTGGATCAGGATGCTCAGGGTAGAGAATGATACAGCCCATGGTAGGCTGGGCCTTCCCCTGTCAGTCAGCTTAAAACGAACTCCCACAGACATGCCCACAGGCCAATCTAATGTAGATGACCCCTCAGTGAGACTTGCAGGTAATTCTAGGTTGACGTTTACAATTCAGCATCACACACACCCATTCAGTGTGCTTCCCTAACCCCACTGGATTCCTCCCCAAGCCGTCAATATCCCACATTACTTTCTTAGGGTTGCTCTGTGTATTTTCAAGTTCCTTGGACGAGAGAAGTTAGATTGTGACCCTTCCAATTCAGTGAGTGGTTTCCTTTGATGACTTTCAGCCTTCTGATCCATTTTGGTTCTAATAGTAGCAAGCACCTGAGCACATCTAATCCATATCATTCCTTTTGCTTTTGAGTCTTTAAAACCTGTCTTGTCCTTTTTCATACATGAGTGTAGCTGATATGTCGCGCTAATTTGGCCCTCTGTGAAGTGATAGTGGGTATCAGCCTCTTCCATACAGTTTCTGAATTGAAGAGATAGGAGCCTGAATAGCATTCTACTCATTGTCTACAGATTGTGTCTTGTTCACATCATTAATACAGAACAGAAATGGCTATCTGTAAGCTCTATAACTCGGGCCAAGTTTGAAATTTCAAAGATGTCAGCAAAAATATTGATTATGAACGGGTTTTAGGTCCATCGTGATATATGATGTTAAGCACCTGCCATTTCCACAGCCCCCCATTTCAAAATTGAGTATAAAAGCTGTCTGCAGAATAGATTTATTCTTTCCGATCCTGTTTTCCTGCACAAAATCCTTAAATACATCCAGTAATGTGTAGACGGAATATATTAACTCGAGGTTGTAAACTATATTTTAAGGTTACAGTTATAACTTTTTAAGTGTGATGAAATGTCTTCCTTTTTACTTTCCTCAATAAAACCTATCATTTATTGCAGTAAAGCCTTTATGAGTGAGGAAATGACAGTCCTATTGCGAAGCTGTACGGAATCACAGGCAGAGCCATTCAGTTAGTGCCCACCGGTTCTGTGGAAGTTCCTTCCATATCTGGGTTTCATTCTTCGCCCAGAAATGGCACCTTAAGTTACTGACCTGGCGAGAGTGTATATTTTCCCCCTTATTTTTGGGTTGCTGCTTACATTTTCTCAGTCACTGTCAAGCTTAGCAGCTCTGCCTATTAGAACATAAATGAGTGTAGGAAATTAAAAGACGCTGGGAGGGATTTCAGTCATCATTCTGATTCAGTATCCTCTCTCAGTCTTACGGATGCTAAAGGCTACTTAGAAAGTGAAGTGACTGACACAGCCCCAGTCCTCTTGGTAGTCTCTGTTAATACTGGGGCCCCAGACATCACTGTCCTGTCTACTTTTGGTTCATGTTAAGGTGAACATGTCAGTCACTGTGTGAGCACTGTTCAATCTAAACAAACAGGTAAATAAATGGGACTCTGAAATCTCAAAGTGCTAGGCATTTCTTAAAGCTTTTACTTCTGAGACTGTGCATATACTCAAAAACAAAACAAAACAAAACAAAAAAACATCTAAGATTCATGTGATCATCTGTGGGGCCGAGGGGGAAGAAACCCTTAAAGTTAAGAGTCTCACTGTAGATGTTTCAGAACTTACAGCATGAGTAGAGGTAGTCAAAGAGAAATGAATGTCAGCCTTGTCTCCCAGATAACCAGCCATGTGCCTGGCATGCCTTCCGGGTCTTCTCTGTTTTTCTTGTCTGTTTGTTGCTACGTACAGATTCTCTTCTACCTGTGGTATTTATTTTGTTGTTTGCTCTTAATTGATGTGCTCATACCCTTTCCCCAAGGCAACAGCTTTACTGGATGTGTAAACTTGCATTGTTGGATTGTATTTGTCCTCTGATCTTGGCTCTTCAGTAACCCCAAGCATTTGTCTGCTATTTGCATCATATTTGAAATCATGGTGTCAGGCTCAGGATGTACTTGGTATGATGCTGTATTTTGGGGACTGGGAGCTCAGGCTGCGGCTGTCCAGAGTGATAAGGATTGGGGCCCTTGCTCTCTACCGCTGAAGAAGCCTGCTTGACACTCTATCTTGGGGTCATATGCATGCATCAAGTCTTTCTTGCTGGACTCAACTACCTTTCTTTTTTAAGAGCTTTGCCATTTTTGTTGAAGAAAACACTATTGTATTTTAGTCAGAATGTTTTTGTACCCTGTTTTTTCTCAGCCCCACTGTTTTGGGGTTTGTCTTTGCTTCGGTGACGCCTTGGAGCAGGACAGAGTGCTACCTAATGAGCTACTTTGATTGCAACGTACACACTGAACCTAGGGAGGATGTGTATACTTGAGAATCAGAGAAACAGATCCTGTATCTTAATGGCTGCTCCCTGGGTGTGACATGCCTTTGAAAGTTCCCTGTTGGTGTTTCTGAGGCTGTCCTTCGCCTTCCATCTTCTGAGTGAGGAAACTCCTACAGAGAGCTGGGGTGACTTGCTGGGTACTAAGGTGAGTTGAAAGTGTGGCCGGAACGGGGCAGGCTTGACTGGGAGCTCTTAGCCAGCCATCGTAACGACTCTGCTCTAGTAACCCAGGGCAGGGATGGCCCTTTCTCTTTCCCACACACCTTCTCCTCTTTCCCTCCTTCCTTTTTACAAATCTGACTTAGACCAGAACGCTAGATGACAGCTGGCTATTTTTTTCCTTGTTTAATTAAGAAGTTGTGGTGAACACAGATACACACCTGCAACCTTGCCTTTCGGAGTACCCCATCGGTCTTTGTGTATGTTTCTATGTGACGACTACTCTGCCTGTTGTAAAGGCTGCTCCTGAGAGGTAGCCTCCCCCCCACCCGTGTGATGAAATTTTCTTTCCCAAATGACAGCTGTGTGGCTCTTGACCAACTTGGTAGCATGTTGAGGAACATGGGCAGAGCGGACATTTTTTGGGTTCAAAATCTGCCTGGTGGAGCTGAAAGGTGGCTCTCCGGTTAAGAACACTCTCTTGCAGTGGACGTGAGTTCGGTTCCCAGTACAGTGTCAGGTGGTTTAAGACTGCCTGTGAACTACAGCTCTGTCGATAGCCAGCTCCTTCTCGTCTCCGAGGGTACCTGCTCGTGTGCCGTGTATACACACAGACACACAAATATGCGTGAAAGTAAAACACGAAGCCTTCAAAGTCTGACCACTTTTTGCTAGTGACATCTGTGCAGTTTACCTGGCTCTTGACTCAAATACCTCATTTTTTCCCCCCATCTTGACGTCCCTCCCGTCTTGAACCAGGTTCTCCAGCGTCGTTACTTCGTTTCTGGAAACTGTTGACACTCACTCAGGTGCTTACTGCTGTAGGAAATTAGACAGTAAAAGCGAGGAGCACAAAATAGATGCAGTCTCTGTTTGTGGGTTGTTCTGTCAGGGACACCATCCCACCCGTGGCTCTTTGAAAGCAGGTTTGTGCTTTGAGGTTGGTTTTCAGTGGACACTCTCCTGGCATGGGAGATCAGCCGTGGTTCTGCAGCCACTGTGTCTGTGCAAAGGAGGCATTCACACATATAAATAGTATAATTGCATATCTAAGGTGCAGGGAAGATCCAGCATATTCAACATGGTATCTGTAATATGGTCAGTAATTTTGAGGCCACACACCGTGCTTTCTGTTAAAATGTCTAGTTGTAACATAGGTGTTTAAGTTCCTAAGTTGACTTAGTGAATGCACGCGGTGACAAGCTTTACACCCTATATTGGTCCTATAGCTATTGTCTGTTCCTTTTTTACATTTTCATCCAAGTGCGACAAGAATGATGTAAGATGGGACAAGATTTGGAAGCTATTTTGGGAGAGAAACTACCTTTCTCTCAATTGCCTAAATTCCTTCTCCACTTCATCAAAATGCGCCCAGTAGCTCTGATATTGATGCTGTTTGCTAGACAAGTCATATATGTATATTTTTGTTGTCCTTTTTTAGGATTCTGAGCAACAACAAGATATCTGAGCTGAAGAATGGTTCGTTTTCTGGCCTAAGTCTCCTTGAAAGATTGTGAGTATTTTCTCATGGTCATCTCTCCTTATTGTATACAATTCATGTGGTTTCATTGTAAACCCTGTCAAAGGGACTCCTAGCAATTATAAAAAAAAAAAAAAAAAAAACCAAAACAGTTTTCCCAACATTTTATTATGCTAAATTTCAGGAAGTGACCACACAAAGAGAAACAATTACCCAGTAAGAGAAGTCAGTGTGCTCTCTGGGAATAACCAGAAAGTAATTCCAGAATGACTTCGAGGGCTTTACGTGTGGTCACGGGGTCTGCCCTCTGCCCATGGTGTGGTACCGCCATCTAGAAGCCAACGAGTCAGTACTTACTGATGTATTGTGTGTGATGGCACGATGATAATTGCGGATCTCTCCCGATGAAGCTGTTCCCTAAACAAGCCATGGACCACAGTCTGCTGACCACTCAACACAGATGATGTTTTGAAACCGTGCATCCTAAAATGATGTGTGTCTTGTAAATAAAACAGACTGCCTGCATATCGAGGGGGTTGCTTAGATAAACTGGTGTTTTCTTCGGTGTCTTGGAACATGATTGTATGTTTTTCTTAGAAGTTTTTTCACGAGCTGATACAGTACAGGTCCTCATTTTGGGTGGGTTTTAGGTGATTGGGTATGTGCTCTTTACTTGTGATTTGAATGTTTACAGTTGGCCGGGTGCACGTTCATCACAATATAACTGAAAAGCACGTAAAAGAGCCAAAGCGTGCACGTACATTTCTGTGAAGTCACAATGTGCCCTTACTGTTTTCAGGTCTCATTGTTCTTCTAGATATCCCGACCCTATCTGGCCAGCTTCCCTGTCACCAGTCACCCAGGGGCCTCCCCAGTCATACGCTCCCGTGGCTTCTGATTGCGTTGCTGAAGTGTTGCATAAGCATACACCACATAGAGTTCTGTGTCCCTTTGTGCATGGCTTTGTTCCTTTCACTTTACTGTATGTCTTTAAGTTAGGTGATGTGCATATACGTATCAGCATCCATAACATATAGCAGTACGTTTATATAAGTATATGCATAAGGTGAATATGCAGGGAACACACTCCACACAAACATGTGTAGATGCATAAAAACTTTTCTTAGTGCTCACGTTTTTTTTTCTTTCCTTCTTTTTTGTTTTTCTTACTGTTTCTGTTGATGTAGACGTGTCATAGTCCTCATGGTCCATGAGTCTAAAGGATGCAGGCTGCCTCCTCAACTCCAGTGCTGAGACCAATCCTCTGTACACGTTCTCTGGTTGTTTCAGTAGTGGGTGTTTTGATAAGTTTGGTTGAGTGGAGACCGGCCTTGGACTTGAGGGATGGGATTTCCTCACTGTCGGGAGGAAGGAAGGAAGGCGTGTGCATGCTAGGACCGGGTCACAGAGGGCAGGGTGAGGAGTTTCTCTGAAGCAATAAGGAGACAATGCTGGATTCACACCACTCAGCATTGGAATGGAGAAGACAGCGTTTTCCCATCACACAGTCTTCCTTGCAGAACAGTGTTGTTGGCAGGGTATCCCAGCATGCAGCATAATGCGAGGCCTTTAGCGTTTGCTGAACTGATAGTTGAAGAAACCCATGTAGTCAAAGGAAGGGATACAGGCACTTGGCAGTTTATTGGTAGTGTCTGCTGTATAGAGAAACACTCAGCTTGGCTTGATACGCTGCTTGGCTTGATATGGTGGTTCAGGAACACTATAAACAATGTAGCCAGCATGGCTACTCTCTGTGCTGTGGTGTGAATGATGCCTTTCGTCCACATCGTTTTTAACTTCCTTTGTCATTGACCGTATTTTCTGCCTTTTGTTGATAATAAATCTCTACGCATAGCTGAAACAAATTAAGTTGCCAATGTGGATTATATTAAGGTGAATTAAATGTTTTTAGCTAGGGGCCTGTTTATTCCTGAATCCCAAAGAACCACCATACTTTTTTGAGAAAGAAAATAAGCTTAGACACAAGGCAGACTCTCTTTAAACTCTAGTTTCCTACTGATCAGTGTGTTCATTCCCAACCCAACTGTTAAACCTATCTCATATATTATGTTGGGGCTGCGGGAGTAACTCGGCATCCCTTCTCAGCTGGCGACAGAGTCTCTTTAGGTCCTAACAGAAGAGGGGCTTTGGAGAAGGACTTCCCTTGGTTTCTAGGAGATACAAGAACAACGGTGTTTGTTTTTTGTGTGTTCTTTTATTCATGGTTGTGCCCAGAGGGTTTTGGACACCTGGGATACCAGGTCACAAATGAGGACCGTGGATTTCCATGCGGTGTATGGAGCCATCCACATCTGCACAGCTTCTCCATATCTTTTCATGTGTGGTGATAGCTTTATTATTGTTACTACGTGTGAGACGGAGATAGAGTTTATAGTCCTGGCCTTGAACTTGCAGAGAGCCTCCTGCCTCCTGAGTGCTGGCATGACTGCCATAGCCAGCTTAGATGAGGGGTGTGATGCTTTCGTCTAACAGCACCTCATCCCATATGTCATGGATTCTTTCCTGAAGAAGTCACTGCTTCAGCCCTTTCTGTTGCCATGGGAAAATGCTATGACCAAGGCAGCCTCCTGAAGAGTTTCTTTACATTGATGGTTCCCTGTGGTTAAGAGTCTGCGGTTGTGGGATATATGAAGATGTATTTGCTCAACAGCCAATAGCTAGGCAGGAGGTATAGGTGGGATTTCCAGGGAGAGAAAGGAAGAGGAGGAGGAATCTAGGTGCACAGGAGAAGCCGGGAGACGAGGGGAAACAGGGTTGCAGGGTGAAGAGACGTAACACCACATGATAGAGTGAAGAATAATGTGAGTCGGTTAATTTAAGTTATAAGCTAGTTAGGAATAAGCCTAAGCTACAGGCTGAGCTTTCACAATTACTAAGACGTCTCTTGGGTTTTTATTCGGGAGCTGGCTGGCTGGCGGGACAGAGAAACGTTTGTTACAGTCTGCCTTGCCTGAGAAGCTTGGCAGCAAGGGGACAGCGTAGCAGCTGGAAGAGGAAACTGACATCTCACATCTGCAACCGCAGGTGTGAAGCAGAGAGAACCACCTGGAAGTGGGTGGGACTCGTTGCTCTCAAAGCGCTCATTTAGAGTCATCTTTCCTCAGCAAGGCCATTCCGCCTAAACCTCTCCATACAGTACCACAAACCCGGGACTAAGGGTTCACAGCCGGACCGTGGGGTGGGGACCTCTCTCTTTCAGACCACCGCAGCGATTCTTCTGTTGCTGCCAGGAAGATGGTAGAGACGTTTGTTTTGGCTGTAAGCCAAAGTCTCAGATGATATAGTTCAAGTCCTGGTAGCTAGAACGGGCTGGGAGGCCTGAGCCGCTGCTGCTGGAGGCTGTGTGAGCTGTCATTGGCCAGTCACACAGTAACGGCAGACAAGAAGTGGAATGTTCCGCCTGGAGCAGGCTGCCTGTAACTCAGAGAGGTTGCCCCGACTTGTTATGAGCAGTTTGCCCCCCAGCCTGGTCCCAGAGTCGCGTCAGCCCCAAATAACACACAGAGACGCTGTATTTAGATATAAAGCTGTTGGCCTGTTACTAGTGTTTCTTATTGGCTAGCTCTGTCTTAAATATTAATCCATTTCTATTTATCTAAGTGTTTCCATGTGGTCTTATCTTACCGGAGAGAGGGTCTGGACCTCTGCTCTCTCAAGTCTCTACATCTTGACTCTCTTCACTACACCTCCCAGAATCCTCCTTGTCTCCTTGTCCCGCCTACCTTGCCTTCCTATTTGCCAACAGTACTTTATTCATTAACCAATAAGAAAAACATATTTACAGAATGACATCTCCCATCACCGAATGACACATCTCAACCAGCCATGCCCCCACCCTAGAGGTTCCACAAACTCCTGGGGACAACGTGTCCACCCAGTAAGCCTGAGAGAGGACATTCTCTCATGGGACCATGCCCATAAAACAGGCCTTCGGATTTTGTAAAAACATGTTCTATGCTTCTTTTCAGGTAGGCATTTATGACCTAAACGCATTGCAGTGACTTAGCACTACATCCCAAAGTTGGACTACCATGTACTCGACACCCTTTATATTGTTGGGGAGAGAAATTGTAAATGAGAGAGTCAGATTATAAATAATCTCTTGGCAGTGTCTGATTGATATGGCTATTATTAAATATTATATAATGTGTCAGTAATTTTTTTATTATTAAAGAAAAAGTGTATCTTTAAATCACATTACAGCACTCAGTTATTCATGAGAGGTATTTTGTAGAAACACACAGTTTATCACTGACCACAGATTTATGATCCTGCTTCAGTGAAATCAGTTCCTCGTGTAGAAGCTGTTTAGAATCTGAGAAGGGAGACTTATGCTTTGAGGAAAATAGGGCTGGTATTATATATTTCTATTTGCAGAGTTTTTTCTTTGCTTGCTTGTTTGTTTGTTTTATTCAATACAAGTGAACACCAGGATTGTTTACCCTGAAACTCTTCTTTGAGGTTTGCACTGATGGTTGTTTGAAGAAGCGAGAGGCAGGGCCTAGAAAGTCAAGGCTTCTGATGTATGTGCCTGCTGTGAGATCTGATGCATTTAAGAAAGGTGGGACAAAGGGCATTTTATTATGAAAGCTTGCATGCCGCTAAAGAATGGAAAGGACCATGTTGCCTCTTAAACCAACAGTTTACTCATATTCCACAATTTACCAATAATTACCAATTTACTACCTGCCATTATTAGGAATATGCTAGTACATGGTGTACACAATGGAAGTATCACATGGATGTCAGCAACAGACATCATGACACCGTGGTTTCTGAGAAGTGTTAATACTGTGGGCAATGCCACATTCTTCACTCTGGCATGGTGGATAGCTGGCTGGTTTTGTGGCTTCCTGTAGTTGACTGAAATATTTGTATAGTTAAGGGTTGCTCGTGTAATTTTGTCTCTCATCTTTGGCTTATTGTTGCATCCCTTTGTCTGTCTACCAACCTACCCTGTGTACATGATCTCATTTTCCCAAGGCACAGTAGACTGTGGTCTTCCTTATTTACAAACATGTCCCTGGCCTCACTGAACTTGATGTTGGAGATGGAAATCAGTGCCTGTAGTGTGCCAGAGAAGCTTCTTGCCACTGAGCACATGCCTAGTGTGAAAATGGCGCTTTCTGGACAGGTTGCAAAATGTGACCACAGTAAGCGAAGATGGGAAGCCTTTGTAAATGCAGGCACATAAAGGAGGGGTCATGTGAAACATGGGCATGGTCAGGGTCTCAGGGATCCCTGCAAGTTTCTTTGAAGGCTTTTGCTTTTTTTTTTTTTTTTTTTTTTTCTCAAGTGATGGGAACTTTTGGAGATTTTAACAGAGAGACATAATCAGGAAGATCACGTGCAATGGAGAATAGCTGAAGAGATAGGATACATTGTTAGAAAAAAAGTCTGTGCTCATATACAGTGCAATCTGTGCTAAAAAGACAAACAACAAAAAAATCTGTGCTCACATAATGCCATGGGGTTTGAACAAGACCAGAGTGACTTGAGACATTATTATCGTATACAATAATTTATTTTTCAACTTCATTTTCAAACATCCAGCGAGGCTGAAAGAATATTACCTCCAGCGCCTTGATTTAATGATGACCGACATCATAGCATGTTTGGTTATCAATTTTTCAATTGCTCTAGGTATAAATTTCCTTAGTGCCTTTAATGAATCCGTGCTGTGTGAAAGATGTACCTAAATCCTGACATCAAGAACTTGACCGGATTTCCTTCATCTCTGTCGCTTGAGAGTTTATAAGGAGGGAAGTTTTACTTTGCCCCTTTCCGTCCACGTGAACATTGGGTGGGTATGAGGAAGCGTCTCCTGTCATGGCAGATAAGAAGCAGAAAAAAGAGGAAAGGCTTGGTGGCCAGCTATTTACCTGTAAGTCCCGCCCCTAGTGGCCATTGCCACCTGTGAGGCTTCACCTCCCAGAGTGCCCACCCCCTCCAAAAGTAGCCCCACCAAGCACAGACCAAGGATTTAATACAGGACTCCATGGGAGACATTTCTTTTCAAACCTTAACACACAAGGAAGTATACCAGAACTCAGTGGAGGTCACGGCACAGGCAGGATTCGCAAAAGTGAAACCAGAGTAGTCTCATAACGTGCATGAGCAGACTGGGAAGCCACAGTGTCAGTGACGATCAGGAATGTTGGCTTACAGTGAGGGAGTGAATGACTTCCGCCATGGATGAGCAGAGAGCAGCCTCACCCGTGTGTGTGTGTGTGTGTGTGTGTGTGTGTGTGTGTGTGTGTGTGTGTGTGAGAGAGAGAGAGAGAGAGAGAGAGAGAGAGAGAGCGTGTTTCCCCAGGAAAACTTTCCACAGTGCAGCCCCTGTATTGGATTTTGCTGCATCGTAATTAGCATAAGCTTTCAGAAGACAAGGAAGAGAGATAGGAAAGGATGTGTGAGTGAGACTTCACAGCACTTAGTTTTCCTTAGCTGGGAAAGCAGTGATGCGGGGTGTGCCTCTCAGAGGGGATGGGCGAAAACCCAGGACTCTGCTCAACTTGGTAAGACTTATGCTTCCGAGTCTTTTCTTGAACGTGAGTAGAGAAGGGGTCCTGGTGATTTCTGAGCTGCAGTGGGTTTGACAAGGCTTCCAGAAGTCTTAGAGACTTCCTGAGCATGAGTTCAATTGTCCTTGTTAGAACCATAGTCCTTAGATACCCATGGTGCAGGTTACCTCTGCGTTGTGGGAACGGGTGTTGTCTAAGTTCAGGATCTATTTCCAGGATGGCCTTTCACATCATCCTAACTGAGTCGGAAGGGACTTCGGGATCTAGAGTTACCTGATCTTCTGGCTAGGTAAACATTTACCTGCACATCTCTGTTGTTTGGCCATCAGTGTGTGTGTGGCCAAGCCCTGTGTGACAAGAAGTGGCACCAGAGATTCAAGAGTGGCCGTGTAGGGCCAAGGTTGCTATCGTTAGAGACAGACTTGGGGAGAAGAGCTACTTAAGGGTTTCCTGTTTGTTTGTTGCTATCCATCTTGCTGACAGATGACCCAAGGACACCGACTCAATGGACAAGGCTGAGAGTTGGTCCTGACACACAAACTAACTTAGGGCATCAGGGTGGGCCACCTACTGGTTTTAGGAGGTTGATGGAAGTACTGGCCTTTGTGCTGAGGTCTAGCCCACACTTGGATTGACTTCAGAGGCCTGAGCCTCTCGTGGGTAGGGAGCCATGACTGGAAACTCACTGCTGCCCCGCTGTGGTTGAATACTGGCATGGCAGTGTCCCACTGCTTGAGGAGGAGAATAAAAGGACAGGCGATACAGACCTCCTCTGTCTGTGCTATGGGCTATGTATTGTGATTTATAATGTGTTTATTTATAACCTCACATTATGGAGAACATCAGTACAGAATCCCAGGGTGGGGAAACAAAACAAATCACATGAATTTCAGAGTACCAATTTTGAAGACATTTTTTTTTTGTGTGTGTGAAAGAATTCAGTGTAATGATGTTTATGATAAGCACAACCACTGACGTGCTTAATAACTGAAATATAGCTTGCTAAGGAAGAATTTACAGAAATAGTGGGTGTGTGGTCCTGGAAAGATGCCTTAGTGCTTAAAATGTAGCTTTGTAAGTAGGAGGACCAGCGTTTGGTTCCCCCGGATTATGATCTATATAAATGCCTGGTAGGCATGACAGCCTGCCTCTGATTCCATTCTGGGGAGGCTGAGATAGGAGATCCCCAGGTAAGCTGACGAGGAGGATAAGCCACGGGGTTTGATTCAGAGTGAGTCAGGAGGAGATGCAGTTGAGGATGGCTGATTCCTGACATCAACCTTGGGCTTACACATGCATGCACACATGCTGTTACACATGTAGCCACATGCACCCCCATGTCTGCAAGCATGTTTGCAAACAGTGCATTCCACACACACATAGAAATAGCAAACGGAAAGAACGGAAGAACTAGATCTGGTGGGAAATAATGGCACTCCGAGTACTGTGAGGACCCTGTACCTCTCATGACATCTGCTTTTATTCATTAAGAGAAAGGGTTTGAGGTCAGATTTCTCAAATTTGAATCCACACTAGCACTCGCTGCTGGGGAGATCTAGCCTTAACCTCCTTTGCTGTGTTTTCTCCCTAACTGGTGGTTGAGTCTGTGGCAGGTAAGTGTAGTATGCTGAAACATTTTGCAAAGCATTGGTCATTGACTCTTACTTTACCTTTCACAGGGACCTCCGGAACAACCTTATTAGCAGGATAGCCCCGGGTGCCTTTTGGGGACTGTCATCGCTGAAGAGATTGTGAGTTTTGAATTGCTTGCTTGGGAGTCTGAACCATTCCTTCTATGGCTAGCGGTGAACTCCAGCTTGACAAGAGAGGCTCATCTGGCCAGGTCCCCGACAGAACAGAGAGGATTTAGTGTCCTATCAGTATGCTTTGGGTGCCTCTCTTACACTAACAGACTCATTATCATGTCAGTTGTGTAGCTATAACTACTGTAGAGACAATCCTCAAGCTATGACTCCAGTCAAACCGAACATCTTTTGAATTCCAGAAATTCAGGCTTTCCATTAGTGATGTAATGGCTTGCCATTTCCTTGTGTATCTTTACTTCAAAGCCTAAAGAGTCGTTTTTATTACTCGGAAAGCTAAACTCCTGCTAGCTTCTCACTTGGAAAGTGACTGTACTAAAGGCACGCAGACCTACCCTCCACCCTGTCCTTTGTAATGACAAGGGCTGGGCACCAGCTGCCTGCACACTCACGCTTCTGGAACAACTCAGACTCTCCATGTGAGTGAGAAGGTGGAAAGGAGCAGGGCTGACCTCAGTGCCTGGTCTGGACTTTTATGACAAAACACAGACCAAAGAGAGAAAATTAGATGCGTCGACATGCATATGCTGTACACTAGGCAGAGTCAGGAACGAATGGCCGCCAGACAGCGAGCGCCTTTTATTACTCTGGTTTACTGAGCCTCTTCAAGGAGGCATAATACTATTTTTAGAGAAGACGTAGGTTGAAGGAAACGGATTCTGAGGCTGGGCGCAGTCAGGTAAATAAAGGATTAATGGTAAAGCCCTGTCCTGTCTGGAACTCTGGAGCTGGGGCCAAATTGGTTTTAATCATCCCTCCCAGTATCGGATCCATAATGTTTTCCCCTCCAACCTCTTCTCTTATCATCGCATGTTATCTGTTTCCAGTGTGGTCCACACCATTGTCTTCACAGTGTTTGGGCAGCAGAAAGGTCGATGCTTACAACACCTCTATGCCAAGATGCAGGCCAAAGGAAGTAGACTGTCAGTAAAAGACACTTTCATGACTGTGTGTGTAGGTGCCTCAGAAAACCTTTGGTTCTCGGTTTAGTTCCTTATCCTAAATAACGTCTCAAGTACCGCCGTCTAAAAGTTTAATAATCTTGTTCAGTAGCATTTAACTTAATTACTGGTAATTGTGCGGGGGTTTTTGCCTTAGCCTGTCTGCGTAGCGTTCATTGCACAGTAAATGCTCTTCTGGTGTTCCTGCCTTGGAAGGTAATTGCCATTTACAGTGTTCTTCCTGCCAGAAAAGACATTCTTAATTCCAAACAGCTGACTTGTAATTGAGCGTATGGCATACAGCTTGCAAGCTGGGGGAGTCCTACCGGTAGACTTAGGGGGATGTAAAGATAGCCGAGTAGTTAGTAGCTAATGGCTGCCGGCTTTTTATAGACCCCGACTCTCTCTCTCTCTCTCTCTCTCTCTCTCTCTCTCTCTCTCTCTCTCAAAGCTTTAGGTCATTCATTTCGGTGGCCACACAGTGTTTCCTCCGTCCTCTTGTCTGTAGCTGTAGATAATTGGAGTCGGGAAGATTAAGTAGCTTTTGAAAGATAAACCACCAGGAGTAGTTGAAACTCGAACCCATTCACTTTCTCCCTTGCTTTATCAACTAATGTAAGCTGATTCTCAACCCAAATGAAAACTCATTATCGATACCCAAATTCCATTTAAGTCGGTATAGCTGTAATGGAATTGTTTCCCGAGGAGTCAGTGGTAATTACATTACTTAAAGCTCAGACGAAGTGAGCAGGGAGGATGAATAGGACCAAAACACACTCGTTCAAGTAACAGCCCACCAGATGATACCTCATTCTCTTAAACTGTAAAACCTAGAAATGAAAGGAAAATCCACTTTAGAGAAATCCCACATGATTAAATGGGTGGCTTTAATACTGTAAGGAGCTTGTGCTACGCAAGCCAAGAGCAAGCTTTGTGTGGCTTAAGGTTATTTGAGCCGTAAGAGAGGGAAACCAAAGCTAAAGCATACTGGTGTGCCAGATAACGCAGGGTGGCTTTGGAATACGGAAGGGGCAGACTCATTGAGGAGGTACCAAGGTCAAACGCCCTGTGCTTCGTATTTATAGTCAAATGCATGCCTTGTGCTGTGACCAAGTGCACAGTGTGGAATCCAGCAGCTTTTGTTTGCAAACGAGCACTCTACCACCTCCCTTTTTTATAGTGTAACTCAGAGTGTAACAAAGGACGCATTTCTCTGTGTCGGAAAATCATGTGGACATTGGAGATTGTGGTTTATTTAGAGAAGTTTCTTAATTTCTCTATTAATATTCCAAGTGGATGGAATTACTCAAAGTGTAACAACTGATAAAAGGAACGATTCATCATAGGTTCGTTGCCCCCCCCCCCGAAGTTGGTAAAGTTCACCGATGAACAAAGATGAAAGGTGAGCATTTCCCGCTGAAAGTCCGAAGTTGCCTTGCTACAGTTTTCACTGCAACCCCGGTTAAACGTAAAGCAGTGTGTCCCTTGTCCCAGGTGTAATTGCAGTGAGAGAGTAAAGAAGCAATGATGTATCCACTGGTATTTCACAGGGCCAGTGGGAGTGATCCGCAGGCAAAGCGCTTGTCGGCAAGTCTTACGTGAGCTCAGTCCATGGACACAGGGTGGAAGGAGAGACTCGACTCCCAAAAGTTTTCCATCAACCTCCATAAGAATGCTGTGTCACCTGTGTGTGTGTGGTATTCCTGCTGCCCCCCATCATCATCAATAATAGCTAATAATTATGCATAAATAAAAGGATGACAGTACAGATTGATGAGAAGAAAATATTCAGAGGGTGACAGGTGCTAGGAACCGTTAGACATCAGCGTGGACCGGCAGAATGGGCTGTTACCTAGATGTTAAAAATCGTTTGGCTTGAGAGTGAATGACTGATTCGTAAGGCCAAAGCTAATGTAGTGTTTCTCCCCCTCATGTTCCGAATGTCCACATGTCTAAAGGATCCAGTTATAAAATTGTGCTGCTAATACAGTTTGATGATTGGGCTAAGTTCTCAAGCCCTCTCCCTTGACTGACTCTGTAGGGCATCCCTGGAGTTCTAGAACATAGTAAGATAGACTGAGTCTTGTTTTACTACTCTAGCTTTATCTCCGATAATTTCATAGAGTAAATGGCTGAAGTATAATTAAATGGCATCTTGTCTGTGTGTGCCAGAAGGAAAATAGTTAAACTGAGATCCATTTTCTGGGGTGCTGTTTGTATCACTCGAGGGAGGAAGCAGGAAAGAAAGGTCTTACGTTCTTGATCTGAATCTGAATCTGCCAGACCTTTATTAATTAAGAGAACTAACTAAATAAAGTCATTCCCTCCCTCTTCCCTTAGGGACCTGACAAACAACCGAATAGGTTGCCTGAACGCAGACATATTTCGAGGACTCACCAATCTAGTTCGGCTGTAAGTACCTTTTCTACTCTATCAAAATACAAGATATTTGAGCCTCTAGGTACCCAAGAGTATGAACCTCAGTGTTGTGTTAAAGTAGGTCTTGTAGATGCCACAGGGACAGGAAGCTTACTACTGGGTCTTGAGATGTAGTGTCCTCAGAATAGAAGATGGGTTGAGCATCCGTTACCCAACATGCTTAGGATCAGAGTGAGGAGATCTCTTGTGCCCAAGACGATACTGTGCAGGTGAGATTCAAATGTGAATGTGAAATTCTTTTCTCTTTCGTAATTACCCCCTAACCAGAGCCCGGAGATAATCTTACCCAGTATTTTAAACACTCAGTTGCTTGAAACACAAGTTTCGTGGTATAAAATTTTCAGTGCTGTTGTCATGGAGCTCAAATATTTTGGAGCGTGCTGGATTACAGATTTTCAGATTAAGGATTTTTAATACACCATCCCGGCACGTCAGTCCTGTGGTCTCCCTGGAGACCATTGTGTACTGATTCTGAGTGTTAACGCCCATGTGATAGCAGGACTCCATCCCAAGCCAGAACCCATTGCATGGGTGTGACCCCACCCCGCCCCACCAATCTCTGCCCTGTCTCTGCAGGTGGCAATCCCTCCCACCGAGGGATTCAGCCCGAAGGAGGGGAGCTTGGCCTGTTCATGACCCCACACTTTCTGTGTTCTCCTATGCCTCATCTCCCCTTTTAGAAACTCTTACACTTTGGTGCCCAGAGTAGGTCTCATGGTGTTTGAATGATGCTGCCAGTTTTCCACAGACATCCGTGCTTTTAATGTTAGAAAACCCCGGAGCATGCACAGCTACTACCTAGTAGCCCATTTCCGTTCTTGCTTGCTTTCTTTCTTAATGGCAGAGTGATATTTAACTTGAAGATTACAACAATACAAGTTAATATCGTGTTGTTCTTTTTACCAGTGCGTTTTATCCTTAACTTGTCAAAATTTTAAATAAGATATTTTTCTATGCATAGAAATGCCTTATATTAAAAAAAAAAAAAAAAAAAAAAAAGGGAAAAAACAAAGGTTAAGGAAACACGGGTACCTATTTTCTACCCTTATCCCAAACAAAACATATTGTGGCCCCTTTACTCTAACTCCCGAGCATGTACTCAGGCGTTGAAGATACTTTATTTTAGTAGTTCTTCTGTAGCTCTTAGCCCATTTCACAGTATAGCTCTAATGTAGTACTGTTGAGTTTACTCACACCGCATGCTGAAGGGTTTACATTGCACAGCATTTGGCTGGGAGAGGACCGAGAGAGGTTACATAATTTGTGCGAGGCCATGGTTGCCCTGTACACAGAGAGTCCCCCCAGCCCCAGGACTTAGTGCTCATCTCACATCTGCTCAGTCTTGGGGTGTGGTTGGTTACTGCTGACCGCTCTTTCTATCTACGTTTATTTGTTGCTCTCCTGAATGACCAACCCCAAGTGAGCATGTGAGTAGGTATTCTAGTGGGGACGCCATAAGGAATGTTATGTTTCCCTGATACTAGGTAGAAGAGCCTTATTTAGCATTAAGTTTGTTTCTAAAGCCTTTGCCTAGAACATTGTGTAGGCTGAAGACTGCTGCCCTCCAACCTCATGGAGGCATTTACACATTCCCCTCTCCTGCTTAAGAATTCAGGCAACTTTCATGAACTCCTCAGTACATTTTGTTCAGATCTTAGAATGTTTGAGACAATATCAAATAACAAAAGTGATGCGCTGTTAACGTATTTTTAAAAGTAAAACTTGTTTTCTCTTTTAGAAATCTTTCAGGGAATTTGTTTACTTCGCTGTCTCAAGGAACTTTTGATTATCTTGGCTCATTGAGGTCTTTGTAAGTAAGAATTCTTTGTTGTATTTAATTTATAGTCAGTGTTGAAGGAAAAACAAACAACAACAACAACCATAAAAAAACCCAAAACAAAAACAAAAAAAGCCCAAAACAACAAACAAAAGCAAACAGTGGTTTTGTAACTTACGAGAGTTTTCATGAGAAACGTCTCACAAATTTTCAAAACTTAGGCTTTTGCTGGAGCCTGAAGCTTGCGAGGTAAATCTCAGGGAGGTATTCCAAACTGAGATGGCTGTCTCCTCAGAATGGGTCCCTCCCAACTGTGGTCAGAAAGAATAAACTGGCGGCACTTGTTTCTCGTGACTTAATTTTCAGGTTCAGAGGTTTTTGTCGGTGACTAATTACATGCCTAAAGTTAGCCCATTCCTCCTGAAAAATTCCTTCTGGGGTTACTTTATATGTTCAGGATTTAATTCTGTCCCGTAATCTCTGCTCCACATTAAATCCCAGGCTCGTTACTGATATTCCTAGGAATGTTTATTGAGAAGGCCCTCCCTGTAAGATCAGATTCACACAGTTCTCAGTAATTGTATAGATTACTTTGCTTATCTCAAGGTTGCAAAGGAATCATGTTTGGAAATGAACTATTTTCAGGTAATCATTACTCTCTCTCAACCTATAAGTCATAGTGATTTCTGTTAGAATCACAGTTAAATAGTCTGTCACATCATTATATGTGATTTATTAGGTTGAGTCGTTTCCCAGGGAACTTTTTCCTTACCAGGTGACTCTCTTCAATATATTGGTCCCTACCCCCCACAATATCAGCAGTAGAAGGTAGCATTTAGGCCAAGGACACGGCAGTTGTTGTAAAATTTGGGAAGGCTTCGAGACCCCGAATTATAACCAAGTGCTCTACAGTAAAAGGTTGAAAGGTAAAGACTTGACAGGTGGCTTGGGACCTGCTCAGAAGGGCCCCCGGGTTTGGAGAACTGGCGTGTAGAAGAAGGATAAGCAGGATGCTGGACAAGTATTTCTCCCTGGTGACTTATGCCACCTTTGATCGGAAGTAGTCCCAGGGTCATGGGAGGTATTGGTGGGATCCAGCACTCCAGCTAACAGGGCGTTGGAAAAGGCCCGTAGCCAGTTGACCGCCTGTGCCTTGTGCTTTACAACCGAAAGGTCAGCTGTTGCAACAGAAAGGAACCAGTCCGGCTGCTACATGATGCTGCTCACTGTCGCCCTCCCCTGTGTGTTGCAGAGAATTCCAGACTGAGTACCTTCTGTGTGACTGTAACATACTGTGGGTGCATCGCTGGGTAAAGGAGAGGAACATCACAGTGCGGGACACCAGGTGTGTCTACCCTAAGTCACTGCAGGCCCAGCCAGTCACAGGCGTGAAGCAGGAGCTCTTAACATGCGGTAAGGGGGAAACAAAACCCAGGAGTCTTTACCATGTTTTCATTTGTTTGCTGCCGTGTTTCTCTTGACAGACTCTGAAGTTCTTTTGACGGGATCTCAGTACAATGATTTGCTACGGATTGTTCTTCCCGCCAGCCTGGTTCTGCGGCCACCTTGCCCCAGATGAACACACAGACGCAATTATAGCCGTGAAATTGTTGGCCGATGTCTAGGGTGTCTTATCGGCTAGCTATATCTTAATTATTAACTCATTTATATTAATCTAAGCATTTCCACATGGTCTTAATCTTACCGGAGAACGCCTGGCAAATGTCCTCTCTTCATGGGCTCACATCGCAACTCCTCTCTGCCTATGCTTCCCAGAATCCTCCTCTGGCCTGGCCACTAGCAAAAAGTGCTTTATTCATTAACCAATAAGAGAAACATATGTACAGAAAGACAACCCCCGTCAACAATTAATCGTGAAGAATTTAGTAATGCTCAACTATCAACAATTAATCTTGAAGAATTTAGTAATACTCAACTAGCCGGTGGTTAGTCTAGCCAGGTTAGGAAACAGAACTTCCATTGACCTCTAGGGTAGCTAGCTATTCATGGTTCTGAACAGCTTGCTTCATGAGAGCCTGTTTCAGAGACTAGCAGTGTATTCTTCCGTAGGCAAATGGAGAACTCACGGAGAATATTACAGGCTCAGGATGCTCTCACACTGTTTATTGGTAGGAGTGGGGTTCCATAATCGCCTTTGTGGTGCTTGTTTGTAGTTTGTGTTTTGCTGTGTTGCGGATCAAACTCAGCCTTGCACATGCTAGGCCAGTGTCCTGCCACTAAGTCTCACACTTAGCCGCATAATATGACCTTCGAACTCAAGTTCATCAGTATGTATGTGTCTGTCCATAAAGGATTGTTGTATAGTTAAGATCTAAGCATTCTGTGTGTTAGAGTTAATTGAAAGGAATTGATCACTTTATTTCCAAGCATACGCTGAAGTTCATAGTAATAGAGAGAAAGTTGAATGGTTTTGGGCGCATTGTAGCATGCAGTTATTGAGAGATCATGAATTTTGGAAGTTTCTGCAGGCATGAGAGAAATACCACGATTACCATGTGTAAAATGATAAAATGCAGCATGGGAACCGAAAGTGACACATGGACATGAAATAAATGATCTTGTCTTCCTCCCCTTTCTCTTTATTACCCATAGTATTAATTTACAAGCATGGTATGTTCTCTGAATGAACATTAAGATCAAACATACAAACAAACGCAAAGAGAACAAACTGCATATCTACTTTCTTGCTATTCATGGATGGCTGGTATTGAGAACTTAATGATTTGCTTCTGCACCATTTTCTGCATTTTGTCAAAAAAAATGCCATCATATTTCTGCAGATTTAACTTTCTGAAAGTTAAAATAATGTAAACTTACATCTGTGTATAAAATAGATCCCACTGATGTATTGTGTAGCTGTGACTGTAATGTCACAGCTTTTTTCTTGCTACATTTTTAGCTTGTTAATAATTTCCCACTCCATAAATAACAGTGATTAATTTTTTGTATATGTTTCTGCATATTCTTAATTTTGATTTCTGCACACTATTGCTGACAACAAAATTGTGTTAGAAAAATGAACTAAATATTTTAAAGTCTTTTATAGAAATCAGTGGTAAACTTTTTTTTACATATACGGGCAAAATCTTTCCCTTTTTCTGACATTGGAAGGTGTAAGAAGTACGGTTTTTCTGCCTGCCGCAGCTGGTCTTGTCCTGCTGCCGCGCCAGCCCCAAATAACACACATAGACTCTGTATTTGATATAATACTGTTGGCCCATTATTTGTTTCTTATAGGCTAGCTCTGTCTTAAGTATTAACCCATTTCTATGTATTTCCACGTGGTCTCCTTACCGGGGAGTGACGCAGGCGTCTGGTCTCCCCGGTCTCTCCATGCTGACTCCTCCTATCTACTTCCTCTTTCCTCCTTGTCTCCTAGTCCCTCCTTCTTCCTTTCCTATTGGCCAACAGTGCTTTATTCAGTAACCAGTATGAGAAACATATACAGAATGACATCTCCCATCAGGAAGGAGTTATAATCTGATTGAAATAAAGGATATTGTAAATGACTTTTCTTTAAATATTTTAAGTTATTTTCACTATATGCATAATTTTGTAAACAGAAGAAAGCACTTTAAGTCATGAAAATCTTGTTTCTTAAAATGATACCACCAACATTTGTTTTTCTGTAGCTCCAGTCTCTAGATCTCAGGATTTTAGATTTGGCCTCTTCCTTAGCTTCCATGTTTGTCTGTGTTAGGTCATCCCTGGAACGGAAGACTTCTGAATACCAGAAATGAATTTCCAATGCTTTCCTTGTCAACTTTGTTCTAATCTGTGACCTATTTGTGTTGCCTTGTTTCTGTTACAACAAAATATGCAAAACTGAATTGCATTCTAGATAAGAGATAAACATTTGCTAGTTCAGCTTTGGGTTGAGGGTCAAGATCATGCGTCTGCAGTGTTTCGGCCTCCGATGAGATGAAGGCCTCTGCTAATGGCATCATGATGGGAGTATGTGTGGAATGATGGGAGTATGTGTGGAAGTAGGAGATGACATCTCCAGACAGGAAGCCGTCTGGTCAAGAGTGGGGATCTGGCTGCTGTACTCAGCCCAGGAGACCAGTTTCTGAGATGAGCACCCCTGGTGCTCTCATACGCTGGGGGGAACTCGTCATTTTGTACATTGCTACACAGGGCACCAAGTTTCCAGGGCATGACCCTGGGAGGCTGGGCAGCCATAGCTATGGCTTGATTCACCAGTCGCATGGTACTAGCGTTAGAATGCTGGTCCTGAGGTGTGTGTGTCCTTCATCAGATTCCGCGGAACATCTGTAGCTTCTCAGTGGAGCATATGCAATGCCTTGCTTGGCTCTTGTTCACCGGGGTCTTTGTTTCTGTCTCTAGATCCTCCCCTTGAACTACCGTCCTTCTACATGACCCCGTCTCATCGCCAGGTTGTGTTCGAAGGGGACAGTCTTCCTTTCCAGTGCATGGCTTCGTACATAGACCAGGATATGCAAGTGCTGTGGTATCAGGATGGGCGCATCGTTGAGACCGATGAGTCTCAAGGGATCTTTGTGGAGAAAAACATGATTCACAACTGCTCCTTGATTGCGAGGTACAGTGTCCCTGGGTGCGTTGCCCTCTGCGAGTTGCAGTGCGTAGCTGGAAGTCAATTAACCATCCCCTCAGCCAGATTTGGAAGAAAAGGGTGAATATGAAAAGTGGGCACTTAAAGTTTTAGTCTTTTTGTTTAAAATTTTAAGAGGAAAATGTAAACTTTTAGTGCCGAACCTAATTGCTAACCATTTCTACTACTAAACTTTTATTTCTCTTTTAGGAATCACCACACTTTCACTATTTTGTCTCCTGATTAATGACTGCTTTTTTTTTTTTTTTTTAAGATATTTTATCTCCCCACCTACTTACTGTCAGTGTAAGAGTATAATTCTGAACTGTCAACCTCATGTCCTGTTAGTCTGAATGAACTCTATAAAGGGTAAAAACAGCTTAAATATGTGTGTGCTGTCCTGCTCGGGGTACTGGTAGTGAGTCTCGTCTTTGCTTTTTCCCCTCGCCTCGCTCACTGCCTCCTTGGCTGCCTAGAGTTTGGCTAGATTTTTGCTAGAGTAAGCTGCAGTTTGCACGCTGCTGCCAAGGCAACTTTGCTGCGAGAAACTTGCTGAGAAAGTAAGGGTTCTTCGAACTGAAAATCAACTCTGGGAATATTAAGGGATCAGTTCTCTATTTTACTATTTCTTGTTTTGAAGACCAGTACCACTTTCCTAGAAGCATAAAATGAAAAGCGTTTTCTGCCTTCTCATGTTTAGAGTAGATGCTTTTACACCCTTGCTCTCCAGCTCCAGTATCTGAGTCATCTTGGGGGAGTCATCACTCCCGACTACTTTCTGTTTGAATGTGGTTTAAAAAAAAAAAAATATGTGTACAGTAATGATGTTGGGTTATATCCCCGACTTTAAGTGTATGATGAAGGAAATAGTGATAAAGCATTTAAGTTGTGGGCTAACTCTGGCCCACTGAGAATTGACATTTTTCAGCAGTCACATTTCAAATGGTTATATAAGCATTTATGAAATACCACGCTTGTGTTGCTTCTTAGCTCACAGAATCTAAAATATTTACAGTCTCATGATGGAAAATACTTTATGACTCGATTCTTCTGGGTTCTGTTGTATTCCTCTTAGGAGAACTAAGTTTTGTTTGGCTAACCTTCCGCTCCTACCTCTCTTGTCTCTGGTGGGTGGCAATTGAAATACGTGTGTGTTTAATGCAGATGCCACCAGGATTTAAACCCATGGCTTCCCATGTGCTTAGGGAAATTCTCTGCCCTGAGCTCTATCCACAGTCCTTGAATGCATTTTCCGTGTATGACATCTAGACTTCTGCTTTGCTACCTCTGGTCTTCTAATTTTGTAAGCTCCAAAAATTACGTATTTCTGCTGTTAGAGGAGCCAAAGCCGTTTAAGAATGCCCAAGTTATTTCTCATTGCCAATCCCTTCTTCCTACATCAGATCGTCTTTAGTGTCTGTCTGCTTTTGATCACTCTATGCATCTCAGTATAGTTTCCACATACTCACATTTCATTAATGTGTTCAGAGCTGCTGACTGAGGGAAGGGTGGCTTAATGTGGGCTTGGTCTCAGCAGCTGAACTCCTTATTAGGGGTGGTGTTAATTGTAAGGAATGATGTATTCATTGTTACACTGTCTTTACTGTGGTGATAATTACACAGGCATATACATATGTCAGAACTCATCTAATTATGTACTCTTAGGGGGTTTATTGTATAAATAGGCAATAATTGGCACAATACAACAACAAAACTTTAAAAATAATAGATTCTTCTTTATACAAAGAGCTTTGGTTAATTTAAAAGTCTAAGTTATAGGACTAAAGTGGATTTACTTTTATAAATCTGTTTCTGAAGTCGTGCTTAAAGCACATATAACTCTTTCACAGCAGCACAAAACATTAATTCTAAGAAAAGCAACTTGGCCTAACATTTTTCTCGGTAGAAACGCTTGACTGACATGACAGTCTTTCGTATGAAGATGGAGAATCCTTTTCCCAGAGTTCACCCCAGAATATGTAGTGAAAGGAAACTCGTGGTTGTTGAAGTAGGTGAGGTTGAAGCTTATTGATCCCTTATAGCTCTCTCGATGGCATCCTTCCTTCATCTGTAAGACTCAGTGGTTGTCGTTTTCTTGTAAGATGACACTCAAGCTGCTGCTTCTTTCTTTCATCTCCTGTCTACAGACCTACTGTCTGGGAGATTCCTGGGACTTTTGTTCCAGTGGATGCTTTTAGACGTGGAAAGCATTGTTAAAAGTTATCCACAAAAAAAAAAAAAAAAAAAAAAAAAAATGATGGCTTAGTATATGAGGACCCATGGCTTCCAGAAGGGCGCCACCAACACAGGGACCCACATTAATCCTCTGAGGCAGTGACATTGGTTGGACACCACATGGCTGCTAGCTGTTAGTACTGTACAATGACCTCATTGAAGCATGCCATATTCCTTTTGATGGTACCATGTTTTGAGGTGTGGGCCTGTAGGCCTTTGTGGTGGTCCGGATGAATACAGTGCCAAAACCACGGAAGAAGAAAAGCGTGTCCTTTGCCTGAGCAGATTCTGAGCTGGGATTGCTTTCGTAGTGGCTGGCAGGTCGTCACATCTCATGTGGAATGAGTGTGTTTACTTGAGAATAAGGTAAAAATATCATTTTTTGGCAATTTGTAGTCTATTTTTTTTTAACTGTGGCTACGCTAGTAATTTATTAGGATGTAATTTATTAGGATGTAATTTATTATTAGGGTGTTTTTGTTGTTTTGTGAACTTAGGTTGGCCTTGGGATCCTCCTGTCTTGGGTCTGCCATGTTGGGATTACAGGCGTGTACCCCTGTGGTTGACTAGATACTCGGTTTTGACGTTTATCTTACTTCTCGGAACTACCAGATACCCTTCCTTTTGACGGCTAGGCACAGCGTAAAGGGGCTATGCAGTGGGGCTCTTGAGCTGAGCTTGCAACCTGGATTAGGTAGAGTTTTCATCACCATACTGTCCATGTATTCCGTCCTACTTCAGTATTGCTGTCCATGTATTCCGTCCTACTTCAGTATTGCTGCACAGCATAGAATGGCTTCGGATTTAATGATTACTTAATCAAGAATGTTGCTTTTTCTGTCGCTCATCATTAAGATATTGGCTACAGCTGTTGACTTGTTTCTGAACTTAGGAACACTACTATTCATTTTCTTCGGTGATTCTGGATGTAACTGTGCCTCGGAGTCTATTAGAATGCTAGCTAGCCCTTGGTGATTTAGGAGACCAGACAAATGTGTATTCACTTCCAGACATAATTTGATAAGTTAATTAAGATGATACATGCTTTGTGTCTAATTATTTCTTACCAGTTGTGTCTGCACAATGGCAAAGCGTGGTGGATCATATAGAGGAAAGGGGGTTAATTGAAGGTTTTGACACTTGCTCTTTAATTAATAGGTTTGTATTAGAGAATGGTGATTTCTTACTGAGAGTGAGATTCACTGACCATTGTGGAGAGATACCGCTCTAAGACGAAACGTAGCTTCACATAGACACTTCTTTACAAATCACTAATTGGTCATTTGCTATCTTTTTTAAGAGTAACATTTGTTTATTGTATGCACATGTATTCTTGAGTGAATGCCAGGATGTGCATGTAGAAGCTGAAGGACTTTGAGGCAGTTGATTCTCTCTTGCTGTGTGTGGTTCCTAAAGTCACCCAGTGTAGTGTCAAGCACTTTTACCCACTGATCCAGCTGTTTTTTAGTATAATCTTTCTCTACAAAGTATTTCCTGTTAGATAATTCTACCTATACCTACCTACCTACCTACCTACCTACCTACCTACCTGTCTATCCATCTATATGTGTGTGAGTGCTTTGCCTACATATGTATGTGCTCTGTGTGCATGCAGTACCCTTGGAGGCCAGCAGAGGTCATCAGACCATCTGAAACTGGGAGTTACACATGAGCTGCTGTGTGGGCTGCTGAGAACTTAAACCTGGCCGTGCTCTCAACTACTGCGCCATCCCTCCAGCCTCATCTCCTTCCATATTTCTCTTTAAATCGCTTCATAATGGTCATGGTTTTCATGAATGTTTTATTCAGAGTCTTTGAAAAGGTGTGACTTACAACCCTGTTTCCACCTCTGGGCTGGCTGTTCTGTGTCCCACCATGCTTCTGGAATTCCTTTGAGTTACAAACCATCGGGCTCCGTTCCTACCCCTCATATGGGTCTACTTTATCTTTAGGATCCTGACGTTTCTCTCTCTCTCTTTATTTATTTTTTTCTTTTTTCTGCAGCGCCCTAACCATTTCCAATATTCAGGCTGGATCTACTGGAAATTGGGGCTGTCATGTTCAGACCAAGCGTGGGAATAATACAAGAACTGTTGATATTGTGGTGTTAGAAAGTTCGGCCCAGTACTGTCCACCAGAGAGGGTTGTGAACAACAAAGGTGATTTCAGGTCAGTGACATGGAAAGTACTAGAAAATGCTGGTTTGTCCCAAAACTTTATAGTCTCAAAGACACGTGATCGGTCTCTCATCCTCAGTAACAAAACTTGAGATATATGTCTGTGTTTGTATCCATATGTGTATATATATGTATGTATGTATGTATTATGTATGTATGTATATATGGAATATTCTTTGAAATGATAATTTCAGTACCATTTATAGAAAAACATTCAAAGATACTTGAACTTTATTTGATACCTGTTGATTTAAGAGTCACTGAAAGAATAGTTATTTTAGAAAAAAAAAAGGTGTGCTTTGAAAATTTTCATGCATGCATGCAGTATATCTTGACCATGTCCACCCCACTCTCTCCTCCTATCCCCTTGGCAGAGGGTTTGCTACAGGTGTTACAAACGCCTGCTGTAGGGAAACAGCTTCTGGCGTGTTGATGACACTGATATATATCTTTCAATGACGTTTATGATGAATCTTGAAGGGTTTTCTATTCTTACGTCACTTGTTTCTAGACGTCATCACTGGGAGAGACACAGATCTACTTTCTTCCCCCATTTAGTAATTCTGGAACTTGAGTCAGAAGGGATTTGGGAAAGCCCTCATAGCCCAAGACAGCTGTTGGGATCTGGTGGGTACCAGGCTTCTTGTGAGACCTGCTGAATCAGTTATCCTTTTAGACAGGAGGGTCAGTCAGAATTAATGACTTTCCATAGGTGAGTTACAGCAGCTTGTGTTCAGGGGCTTTTAACAATGAGTTTTTAGTGTAAACAGAAGAAATGCATTGCTTTTTAAACCATGTATAAAGATCATTTAATTCTAAATTTGCATTGTTTCTGGTGTATGGGGGAGCTACTGTTGCATCTTGGCTGTGGCCTCTACAGTTTTAGAGTAAGAAAGACTTTAGTGTATATCTTTGCAGTGTGCAGGACACTGCCAGGGTAACATTTGTCACTGAGTGGGGTAGTTCATGCGCACCAAACACTATACTATCTTTGCTTATACTTTTAGTTCTTACAAGTGTAATGTGCGACATTTGCTCATTTTGTGGCATTCAGCATCTTTTATGAAGTAATCATGTTTTCCGTTCATGCTGGGCTTTGTCTTTCATTCAGTTTTTTAGTGTTTTGCATGCTTAATTGACTAATGAATTATTTATCTTCTGATACTCCTTACGGCATTGCGGTATTAAAGCACCGCTGTATTGATGGTGTTTGGTCTAGTGTTGCTTGAATTGCTTGATCACGGTCTCTGTTTTGATATGATTGATCTCTCTCAGTGGTCCCACTCCCATACCCCAGTTATAATTTGCATTAAGTATTCACAACTTCATTTTCGGTTTTAGAGAATTAAGAGTTCAGATACCGAAGCTTTCTCCCAGCTCTGACAGGGATGTGCTGCCTCAGCAGGTTTGCGTGGCTCCTGGTAGAGTAACTTCTCACTGATAAATTCTATTGGATACTGTGATGGAGGTATTCAGAACTTCACTTCAGGGTCGCCTATGTGAAACCGTAGTGTAGGATCTCTGTGTAGACATAGTCGGAGATTAAAGGTAACGACATAGGCAGGTTCTGGAGAAATCCATGGGTTAGCGTCACACTTAGTTACTATTCTAGTAGAATCAAAAAGACAGCCAACGGCCATCATGCAGTGTTTCTGCCCAGGAACACCCCTGGAGGCTCAGCACCAAGGCTGCTATAGAGGGCTGGGCTGGTCTTAATTTAGGCTGTCTTTGCCCAAACCTCCCAGACTGTCGGAGGGAAGAAGATCTTTAGCTAAGCCTGCAGTGTAGGCGCAGCCAGTTATACCTAGTTAAACAGATGACAGGAATTGCCCCCTCCAGTTCCCAAGCAGCTGATAGGGTCAGTTGTGCAAATAGGGTATTCTCAGGATAGTTCTCAAGGACCTGCTATGGCATCTTCGCTCTTTATATTTCCTTATCCTACTTGTCCAAAAGGCCAGATTCTGTTTTTATTGAGCAAGACTTCTCCCATATCATTGTTATATGATTCTAAAGCTATAATAACATTAAACAGGACCCTGAGCTGATATACAGCACCCATTTTCATTGTTCTTGGCTGTGAAGTAATTTCTGTATACATTTGTAGCAGCATTAGGTGTTAGATCTTTTATTTTAAAAAATTATTTATTGTATTATGCTGTCAAAATATTCTCAGGCGATAGACTGAATAAACACATCCATAGTAAAATAAAAGTATTGTGATCTTGCCTGGCATTGGTGACGCCCGCCTTTAATCCCGGCACTTGGGAGGCAGAGGCAGATGGATCTCTGTAAGTTCGAGGTCAGCCTAGTCCAGGACAGGCTCCAAAGCAATACAGAGAAACACTGTCTGGAAAAAACAAAAAGAAAAAAAGAAAGAAAAGTATTGTGATCTTCACTCTCCCAGCATTTTTCTTCTTTGTGACTTTTCTCTGTGATCATATTCATGTCCTAGTCCGTTTTTTTTTCTTTGCTGTGCCATCGCCATCCTTGTTAACCTCTGCCATTCTAAGTTTCCTTAGACTGTTTTGTTCTCCCTGTGTAGATGGCCCAGGACCCTGGCCGGCATCACCGCTTATCTCCAGTGTACCCGGAACACTCACAGCAGTGGGATCTACCCCGGAAGCACACAGGATGACAGGAAGGCTTGGCGCAGGTGTGACAGAGGTGGCTTTTGGGCAGACGATGACTATTCTCGATGCCAGTACGCAAATGATGTCACTAGAGTTCTGTACATGTTTAATCAGGTAACTATAGGACGTTCCGATTCACCTGGGTTGTGCATGATGTGGTCTTTTTAAAATGCCAGGTAAAGGGTGAGTGTTGGATAAACTGTTTTATATGTTGGGATCAGGTGCTGTGTGATAACCCTCTTTTCCCATTACCGCTTGACCAGCCCGTGTCCCAGACATGCCTGCGTTTCTAGTTAGACATTTCCATAACCCCTTTCTCAGAGGGATTTTGCTGCTCCTCCGTACCGTTTTAACCTTCCCTCCCCAGAGCGTGGTGCGTGTGTTAGTGTTTGCTCAGCTCCCGAGCACACTTACCTTCTATGTGGCAGTCCTGGCTGTGGGAGTGTCAGTCTGCAAATCAGCAGATGAGAAACACGCCTGGCTTTGCACCAAATCACGGAGGTCAGACTAGACGAGGGTCGCTGCTTTAGTCACTGCTTACGGCCACAGAACTGGGAACAGCTTTCCTGAACGACTGGGGAGGAGATTTGTGTAGAAGGTGGATAGAGTAGATAGAGCTGTGTGTTGTGTTAACGTTGACTTAGTGCGTCTTTAGTATTACTTTATTTCTGAGTTTTATTTATTTCCCCTAAAAATTTAGATGGTTTTTTCTCCTTGTCCTCCTCCTTTTTTTTTTTTTTTTTTTTATTTTCCTTTTCAAAAATGCAACTTCTTTGAACTGAAAAACTATTTGAGAAGTCTATTGGTTTTAATTCCTTGGTGGATTTTATAAGATAGAGATCACGATGTCTGTGTTAGTTCCTATGTACATTGCTTGTTTGCCTTTTTCCATAGATGCCCCTCAATCTTACCAACGCTGTAGCTACAGCTCGTCAGCTGCTGGCTTACACTGTGGAGGCAGCCAACTTTTCTGACAAAATGGATGTAATATTCGTGGCTGAAATGATAGAAAAGTTTGGAAGATTTACCAAAGAAGAAAAATCAAAAGAGGTACGTTGTTCCCAAGTTCAGACTTGCAGTGAGTGTCCGCCAATGGTAAGCTCTAATGGGAGGGAGCCGAGTGCTTCTTTCGGAAGTGGATGTTTTCTGTATTTGAAACTCCGTACACTGTTTTCATTTCCAAACTTGCCGTTGCAACAGTAGTGATGAGGACCTTTGCGTCTGGGAGATGGAGATGAGCTGTTAGCTCTTGAGCTCTGAGGAGCCATGAATAGCAGAGGTAGGTATAGTAAGAAAGCAGCCTCCATCATCTTGCGTGATAGCCAGATACTTCTTGTATATTCTGGAATTCTCACTGTCTACACAGCCACATGTCCCTCTTACTGATTTAGTCAACTGGACCATGTAAACTGCCCCATTACTTTTCTTATATAACAGAAATGAGAAGCTGCCTAGGAACTTCCGTGTACATGTATGAAACCCGTAGACACGGACAATTTGTATGTGTCAGTTAAAGGAAATTATGATTTTTTTTTTGAGAAGGTATTTATTTAAATAGGCCACATTAAACTATGATAAAACTGTGGCATTCCTTATTGGGGGTAAAAAAGCCAACAACCCCAGATTTCAGAGCAGCAAATGAAAAGAAATTAATTTTTGAGGCAAATAAGTTGTGGGTTTGAGCTCTTTACAAACTTGATACGCTGTTTCTCCTGTGATGCAACCTCTTAGCTAAGATGGATTTAAAGGCAGGCAGAAAGAACTTAGGTCAGGTAAGAGCTGAAGCCTGTTGAAGGTGAAGTGGCTTGTCAGTACACACAGTTAGGCCGGGGCTGAGCTGAAGACGGGTGGTGGGAGTCTGTCACGCAGGGCCCAGCATTGCGTACCACCTTACCTTTCAGCCCTATCATGTCAGTAGTTAGGCAGGGTCTATGTACTTCTTTATGGAAGACCTCACAATTTCACTGCTGACAGCGTTAAGAGGTAAACAACATACCCTCTTTCTCTACACCATTTAACCAAGGATTTTTCCCTTTTCCCCCTTTAGAATATTCCAGTCTTGCATGCTGCTAGTAAGTTGTGATTACAGCCCTAGTACATGTGGTGTTTATTTGATAAGGTACAGGTAATGAAGGAAGGGAAATGATAAATGCACATAAATGGAACTTGGCGAACGGGTAAGTTTGCTGGAGCGGGAGACTGCCAGCGTGGTTGTCCGAACTCATGGACCCTGGTTTTTGGCAAAGGTCACTTCTCCCCTGGGGAAGTTTTGTTATCCCTGGGAGTAACGGCTTGGACTCCGACTGCAGCGCTTACCCTGTGATGGTGCTGGTAATCACAGGGTAGCTGCTCGCATGATTGCTCCTGCTTCCTGAAGATGGAGGGCTTCGCGTTAGCAGAATAATTACAGTGACATTTGGAATATGAGCACTCAAACTTTACAGTGTGTATCCGTCCTGGACCTGTACTGTGAGCGAAGGTGGAGAAACCGTTTTTCAGTTCTCAACTTGTACAGAGCAACACAGGGCCCAGGAAGATGCTGGCAGTGCACACCTGGTTGGTAACTGGAACCCGCGTCAAGGTGCACGTTGGGAGAAACAATTCCTGAAAAGTATCCTCACCTGCACTCACAGTTGGACAGTGAACACAAGCAGCAGTAATCAGAAATAAGCTTCCTTCCTTCCTTTCTTCCTTCCTTCCTTCCTTTCTTCCTTCCTTCCTTCCTTTCTATCTTTTTTCTTTTTTGACAAGAGCAAGATGGCACCTTGGGTTATGTAACTGTTACCTAGTGCTTGTGATGAGTAGTTTCGCCTCCATGTCTTATCTTGTTGGGTTACTACATAATGGTTACTGTGGGCCTTTTTCATTGTTAAAATTAGGATGGTTATTGTTTAGTTTGCAGAGTTTCTATGTACAAGTGAAATTATTCAGAGGAAATGATGTTGTGCCTTGGGTCTGGTTTTACAGGATTATGAGATTCTTCTCATCTCAGAAGGTATTTATTTTACAGTACTGTGGGTCCGACTTCACGGCTTTGTGTGTTCTGTGTGTTGTAAGAGCTGTCACGGTCTAAGGATGCCCTTTCAGAGCCTCCTAAGGGCTTCAGTTACTTCTCTGAACACTTAGTTTGGAGGATATTTCTGACAGTTTCTGGATAATAGAGTAAAGTTTATAGCTTTCATCGAAAAGATGTGATGTCAACTTATTAAAAATCAAAAGAAAAAATAGACTCTGTGGTTTTACCCTGGAAGTATAAATGCATTTCCCTGTGATATGGTGACTGCCATCTTGTGTGATCCTTTGGAGGCTGTAGGTTTTGCCTTCCACTGTTGATTAGTGTAGCAAATAGAAATCGTGGGAATTAAGGACTTTGTTTTAAGTTAAATACCGCTGCACTAAATTATGCCGAGATAGTCTGAGATGCACATACCTAAGATAGACAAGCAGTTAACAGAATTCCGCAGTTATGTTCAGCAAGCTCGTTGCAGTGGGTATGTCCGTGCTTCTGTACAGAGCTAATATGTTTTGAGATGATTACTCCTTAGAACCATGGATGCTTTCAGCCAGTCCAAGCCAGGAGCATTGTATCAGGATAGCTACTGACTGACAGCACTCCGGCATACCTGAAAGGTGTATTTAGTGGCCACAGAGAGGTAGCCAGGGTTGTCCAGAAGAATTTAGAAGTCAGTACTTACTGTGTCAAGAGGTTTGCTTTGGCACCAGAGTCCCTTTGCTGTGCTCTGGTTGACTGTATGAGCAAGTTCCACACCTTGGCCAGGCTTCTGTGAGCTCACTGGGCACATTCTTACGCATCTATAGTTAACACGTTTGTACAGATGCACTTACGCGAATGTACCCACACTCATTCTGATGGGTCTGATTACCTCTGTTTTACTGTCTCCCACTTCTTTTTGCTTGGTCTGACTTCACACACCCAGTGCCTGGTGTTACGAGCCTCCTGGAGGAGTCACCCACTGGGGTGTTAACTCAGATTGCTGCCCCTGGCCTGCCAGCCCTGTGCCTGCTCAGGTTCTGAGTCTTGTTGTCCAGGAATGGGTCCTGGGGTCTGATGCAAGTGACTTCGTCTGCACAGGCTCTGAGAAGTGCTGCCGAGTTCTCATTTTATATTGCTGGTGTGAATGTTTTCCCTTTGAGGCTAGGCTCTATAAAGACCTGATTGGACAACTTAGGGAGTCTTGAGGGTGTTGTTGGTGGTTAACTCCTGCCTTTCCCTCTCACCTAGCTGGACAGTTTTCCATCACCAGCTTGGGCATTTAGTCGTCTTCTTTTTCCCTCCTAGCCTGCTCCCCTCCTGCAGTGGTGGAGTATTGGAAAAGCTAACTTAACTCGCTGTGTTTTATACATAATTTTTGTAAAATAAAAGAAACTTTAGGGATGGTGAGATGGTTCTGTCCGTGATGGAGCCCGGCTGCTAGGGCTGAAAACCCAACATGGATCCTGGACCCACAGGATAGAAGTCATGAAGCAGTTCAGTGAGGTTCTTTCTCTCTCTCTCTCTTTCTCTCTCTCTCTCTCTCTCTCTCTCTCTCTCTCTCTCCCTCTCTCTCTCTCTCTCTCTCTCTCCCTCTCTCTTTCTCTCTGTCTCTCTCTCTTTCTGTCTCTCTCTCTCTCTCTCTCCCTCTCTCTCTCATCCTTACTGCCACCAGACTTGTCTGTTTTGTCTTTTAAAAAGCACATTTGTGCATGTTTCTGGTTGGTTGGTCCTGTCAGTTCAGTGTGGTGGGTGAGTATGAAGAGACCCTTTCCTTGACCCTCGAGTGACTGGAGTTGTCTACAGGGAACGAACAAGCCCAAGGACAGACTTCATGCTTAGTTTTGTTTATTACTTGTGTCAGAGTTCAGGAATCCTTTCTTTCTAATCTGGTGGAGTTTTTCCCGCCAGTGTGACAGGTTCCGAAGTCCTTCTGTAATGGAGCTATAGATGCATGGGGCATTTTGCGATTATCTGCTGTAAGGAATATTTTGGTGACAAATCCTTTTCCTGAGTTCTTAGCCATTCCGCGTGGAGTAATGGGAAAACCCGCTCATTCTCAGCTAAAGCCCGCACACTTGTTAGCTCTGTACCTCTTTGTAGCTAATTTTCCTCCTTACAGTGATTAGCACAGGTTCCTGTCTCATTCTGGCATTATCTGGAGGGCCAGAGCAAGTGTTCTTTGTTTATGTCATAATCATAGGTGTTCAGGAGGGGTGACAAGTCTGGCAGGCCTCACACCAGATCCTCAGAAAGTTCTTGTATTTGAGTCTTCAAGGAAAAAAAAAAAAAAAAAGAAGACAAAACAAAACACTAAACACATTTCATTGTAATTGTGCCAGTCTGTCTTAGCTGCTGTAAATGCGATCAATACTTTGTATATGGTATCTCTGAAGTTCTCATAACCAAAAAACAGTTCCCTTTTGGTAGTCACTGAACGTATCTGTTATCTGAGGACTTCATCACACCGCCTGTTACACTTTTGCATAAAATCCTGAAGTAACAGCAAGCCAGAATGAAAGGCTACTAAAAAGAGCCATCCTCAGTCCGCATTTAAGGGTGGAGTTCATTCTGTTTCTGTCAGGGTCTGGTTGACAGGCGCAGGGAAAGGAGCTTGTCGAGTCAGTAGCTACCTTCATACACTCAGCAACAAGGACGCTGGCTACCACAGTACCTGCTGCTGGCGGGAAAGTATAGGATGGGGCATTCCCATGTTTCACATGGAGTCACATGAGTGAAGTTGTGCAAATTGGGGGTGGCTGGTTGCTATTGCTCCCCTCACTCCCCCCCCCTGCTTTTCTTCCCCTCCCCTCCCCTCCTCTCCTTCCTCCTTTTCCCTGCTTCCTTACTTTTCCTTCTTTTTCATTTTGACACAAGCTCTCACTTGGTTGGTCCCCCGGGTTGATCTCCCCAATTCGTGGGCCCCTAGCCTTCCTGGTGCTTTGCTTGAAATTGTGCGGCGCTGTGTCTAATGTTTCTGTCGGCCGACGCTGCCAATGCTTTGTGTCTCGGAGCTATCTTCCTAGAGAATGTGTGAGTCAGTAGAAATGGAATGTTTGGATTATACTTCACTATTCTCCATAATGTTTCTACTCAGCTTAGTCCGTCATTGCAGCGGGAGGAATTGCACGCTTGTTTTCTTTCTGTGCTATAAGCTTGGGAACGGGGCACGTGTGTTCCCTTCAGTGCTCGCTCTGCCCGTTCAGGATCACGGTCAGTCTGTTTATTCAGTGATAATGCAACTGGATAGCACCAGTGAACACTGAACCACGGACTAAGTGACCATTGGTAGCCATTGGCGGTTCTACTGAACCTTGTCCGGGCACTAAGGTATACATATAAGTAACACACATTTTAGTTCTCTAGCTGCTGGAAATTAAAATTAGGGCACCACTACGATGTTCTGTGGTAAGTACGACACGAAGTTAGGAGCTTTTTAATAATTAGGAGTTTGTGGTTGAGGCACTGAGTCTTCATATCTGAACACAGACAGATATACAAAGTACTCCACTTCCTTTTTGAGCATTTGAAGAAAGGCATGTGTTAGAGGTGAGGACACACACAGAAAAAGAGTTTGGAAGCTGAAAAATGAGTATGTTCTGGAGGGCTGGGCGTCCTATGGCCTCTCCGGACTTTTCCTCCCTAGTTTAGGGAGTTTGAAGGAGGTTAAAATGGTTGATTGGTTCAGAACTGTTATGACGTACCCTGAGCTGTCCTTGAACTGGGTGAGCCAGTCCATTATTACCAAGGGGCCTGCTGGTGGGAGACAGAAGCCTGTAAAGCCTTTGTCTTGAGCGGCCAGGCGTTTGTGTCCCGTGAGGGGTTGGGAGGAGGAAGCCGGCCATCTTGGAAACTCAGGGCCTTTGTTCCCTAGCCATTGGCTCTTCTCCCTGTCTGTGTGCTTACCAGGGAGTCTGTCTTCACTCATCCCTACTCACCCTCAGAGATCACCCTAACTCCTGCTATGGCGTTTGTGGGTGAAGACAGCCCTTACCTGCTTCAAGATGACAAGGACCCCAAGATGGAGGGGAGGCAGTCAGGAGCCTCAGCGGAGGCTATAGTAAAATGTTAGCAGTGTCGATGATCCAGAGCAGAAGACAGGCATTTGGTGATGCTGTGTAGTGTTCGAACTTGTCCTGTAAGTGAATTGACATCTCGAGGAGTTGGTGACCCCCAAAAGAAATCCGAGATGAACCCCCCCAAATGATAAGAGTCCAGGGGTCTTGACTGGGTTCATTTTCTCTTCCAGTTAAAGAATTAAAAGGCGGGGGTGGGGGGTGAATCTAAAACACAAAGTGCCCCTGCAGTACAAAGCTTTCTGTTTTAGAACACAGGCCTACCTTGGAGATTGAAATGGTTATTTTTTTTTTTTTTTTTTAAAGACCAATAAAATAATGAAAGAAGCCACCATAGGTTGTGTGCGTGGGCCAGGCTTGTTTTCAGGAGGCTGGTACCCTGGAACTTAATGTGCTCATCATTGAGAAGATACAGGTCTTGTTGCCTGTTTCCTGGTAAAGGGAACGCCTGGTCCGAGAGGTCTGTTCACCCGTGTGCTCTCTGAGATTGCTCTGATCCGTGGTCATAGAGCTGGGATCTCATTATTTCCACTGACCTGTTGGCTGTGTAAAGTGGGCCATGGTGGGGTGGTGGGCTGGACTTCTTTGTAAACCCCCATAGCCATCATATTTATTCTTCCTATGGAAAGCATTGGATGCAGGGCAGCAGGGTTGAGGGCCTTAGCTGAGATCTTCTGGGATGATCAGAAGCCATGTTCTAAAACATCCCCGGCTTCCTGGCTTGGCATTGCTGCTAACGCCTTTGATGCTTGCTTTGTGGTATGAGGACCAGCCGGCTTGCAAAGCTCTGCTCCAGCCTCTGGATTTTTTTTTTTCCTTGTCCTCTGCCAAGAAGTCCCTGTCATTAATATTTGGTACTCTTCAGAACTCCCCTGACTCCAGTCTCCTTAGCCATTAGGCTGCCCAGTGCATTTTCCTGTGGCAACTTGGCTGCAGTAACCAGAAAGCAGATGACCTATTCCTGGTACTGCTTCATGCTGGTGCCTGTAAGGTACAGGTAAGGAAATAACAGGCATGTCCATGTTTGAGAGCACAGCGTCCGCACTGGCTACTCAGAGTGGTGGGTGCGATCGGTGTTTTGCACTTGCTGGGAGGTGGAAGCTGTACTTACACACGAGAAGTGTCCATAGTGGCTTTCTAGACGATGAGCTGAAGTCTGCCAGTGACAACGTGTCACCTCCTTCTTAATTAATTTAATGGCCTTTCTTTCTGAGATGCAGTCTTGCCACCCGTGATGTAGAAGCTGCTTAAGGACTGTTTTGAACTAAAATATTGCCAAGTGACCGTAACGGAACAGAAAGTGCCGTTCATATCTGAGGGCTTTAATGAGAGGCAGGCATGGTTTTCTCACAGCAGATTTAGACAGAAGCCAACGCCACCCTTTAATTTCCTTTAAAATTTTTATTTACTTATTTGCTTACTCAATTAATTATTTATTTATTTAATTTTATTTTTGAGTCTATTCAACGCCTTTCTATTATCTCTGGTTTGCTCAACAGCTCGGTGACGTGATGGTCGATGTGGCCAGCAACATCATGTTGGCGGATGAGCGGGTCCTGTGGCTGGCGCAGAGGGAAGCAAAAGCCTGTAGCCGGATAGTGCAGTGCCTGCAGCGCATCGCCACGCACCGCCTGGCCAGTGGGGCTCACGTGTACTCCACGGTAAGTGCAACGTGGTCGTGGGCCACGACAGGATGCGATTAGGGCCACTCCAACCTAGAAGGGTCCCATCTCTCAACCCCATCATGGGGTTGCTGTCTCTTGTCACTGCTAATTAGCACAGAACGTCTTTCCCCGAAACACTTGAAAAGTTAATCTTGCTTCTGAGTAATCTGTTTTCTCGGTGACTGGAACGTAGCTTTGTATTGTGTAATGTAAATGGCCGCCACTGAAATGGATTCTGCAACAGACATAAGAAATGTCCTTAGGGCTCTGCTGGCATGTCACCACTGTCCATCTAAGGTATACTCAGCTCTGAGCCTTGAAGGATGCTTTGGGAGATTGCCTGATAACTTGTCTAGGGTTTGGTCTTAAAGGACGGGGATGCCCTCCAACACTTGGAAAGCTATGGCACACTATAGTAATCTCTCGGTGAAACAGTATTAGAGTTTGCGCATGCTAAGTTGAAGTCGTAAATTTCTTTGTGTATTGCTCATTTGTGTTATAAAAAAATGTGATAAGCAAATGTGTTATTCCCTTAAATATCACAGTCCGATCTGACTCATGGTTTTCAGCTCCTGAGTATTCAAGTGAAGTTGAGTTTTCTACACTGTGACCTGTGTGTGATTCTGTGTAACTATTTTCCTGAGGCCGTTTTGATCATGCTATGCGTTATTATTCCGTTAGCTCTATTAAGATTAGGATTTCTTTCCTGAGTAATTAATAGAGGCCAAATGTAGCTGCTGTCACACAGCCAAGGTCATGGTAGTTTGACTCGTGGATGCCTGGCCCTGACTTGAGACTGACTTGTCAATCAATGGCCTCCCCAACTGCTTACATCTGGTCCCACCTTACAACCTCCCTTGTTACTCAGCTGAATCTCACAGGTCCTTGTGCTAGAGAAGGGCGTAATAAAAATGGTGCGTGAGTGAAGGCCGTTTCAGCATGTAAGACAGGCTCCAAGAGTTACACATCTGCTCACACAGCTGCCTCTCTTAACCCTGGGAAAGAATTCTGAGACCCCAATGCATGCCTGAAGCCATGCACAATCGAGAGCTCTGTGTGTGCTGTCTTGTCTTCTGTGTTCATACCTGTCAAGCTCAGTTTATAAATCAGGCACAAGAAGAGACCGATAATAACTCCTAGTAATAAAGGTGGGATTATTATTATAATAGTGAAGAAAGTTATTTGTGACGTATGAGTTGCTTATTTCTGGAAATTTCCATCTAATACTTCAAGGCAGTTGTTGACCTTGGGTATCTGAAACGGGAGGAAGTAAAACAGGAATGTGGTGGGGGTTGCTATAATAAGACGGTATGTTCCCAGAGTATCGAGAAGAGGGCTTGACCAGAAGGACAGCTTGGTTAGTCCCTGTGGGAAGTTTCCTGTGTCCGCTGCGCTGGGTGAGACTTTACTGGGTTTTTGTGTGCTGTGATCCCGAAAGGATTTGGAGTGTACATTGTTAGTTTACTTATATAATTGATGCTCATTTCACAGAGTTAGTGTGTGAAGCAAAAGCTTTGCATACGTTATTATCCTCACAGCAAGGCGAGCCATCACGTTGTACTTAGACTTACAGTTAATCCTGCCACCTTGGCCGGTTTGGAAGTGAAGCTTGCCACCTTTTCTTCTCCTGTGCCTTCCCTGGCCTGGGTGGTGAGTGGGAGACATGCCGACGATCCTCCAGGGGTACAGACATGGTGGCTGTGCATTGACAGCTGGTACATCTGAGTGACACCTAAGTTAGGTCACTTTTGAATTCCTTTAAAGCTGGAGGGTCGGCAGGTGCCATCTGTTTTTAGGCAGTTATTCTGACCTAATTTACTTTTTGACTCTGTTTATTTCCTACCATTTGGATCAGCATCTGTCTTATTTTTCTAGGGGAGGGGCAACCGTACAGCTGCTTTTTTTTTTCAGTTCTCTCTCTCTCTCCTGAATAAACTGCTTGTTCTCCACACAAAGGGACAGTATGGGTGATCTGGGTGTCACTCGTGTTCCCTCCATTAGTTTTTGCTTCCCTTAGTTATTAAGGGGGTCACTGACAGCTTTTTTTGTTGTTGTTTTTATTTCACAACTCATTGTCTAAGTAAAAAAAAAACTTTTATTTTTTTTATGTAAAGAATTCTTCAAATGATTGTTATTATTTCATTTTTCTCTCCTGCTGAGATTCAGCCCTGGGCCTCGTGTGTGTTAGGCCTCTGCTCTATAACTGAACGATATTGCCTGTCCTTGGGTTATTTTAAGTTTTAAATTTTTTATGTAATTAAGTTTTACACCATTTCACCTTCCCCCTTCTCCCCACTACCCTTTCCCTAGCCGCCTCCCCGACTTTTCTTCCAGAATCAGTCTTCCTCTTGTCTTCTTTAACGAGTTTCTCTGTGTGTGCATCTGTGAGTGTGTGTGTGTGGGGGGACACACATGCATGTGTGTGCTGTGTGTGCGTGTATGTGTCTGTGTGTGCCTGCATCCATGAGTATCTGTGTCTGTGTATGTGTGGGTCTGTGAGAGTATGTGTTTAGTTTCTGGCACGTCTGTGTGTATGTGTGTCTGTGTATGTCTGAGAGAGTATGTGTTGTATGTGAGTGTCTGTGACAGACTGTGTGTTATGCATCTGTATGAGAGTGTGTATCTGTGAGAGAGGGTGTGTTGTATTTCTGAAAGTGTGTGTGTATGTTTGTGAATATGTATTGTATGTCTATATGTGAGTATGTGTATGTTTGAGTATGTATTGTGTGTCTTTGTATGTGTGCCTAAGTGAATAAGAGACAGTGTGTGTTTGTGTGTGTGTGTGTGAGAGAGAGACACACAGAGAGAGAGAGAGAGAGAGAGAGAGAGAGAGAGAGAGAGAGAGAGAAATATTCAACATCCCCCTTATTTCTAATCAGCTTTTGTTTGGTTGACTTTTGCAGTATTCACCAAATATTGCTCTGGAAGCTTACGTCATTAAGGCTGCTGGCTTCACAGGGATGACCTGCTCCGTGTTCCAGAAAGTGGCTGCCTCTGACCGCACAGGCCTTTCTGATTATGGACGACGGGACCCAGATGGAAACCTGGACAAGCAGCTGAGCTTCAAGTGCAATGTTTCCAGCACGTTCTCCAGCCTGGCACTGAAGGTGAGCTGTGCTCATTGGTCCTTTAAAATTATCTGTGCTTAGATTCCAATACACAGTCTTTGGCTTCACACAGAAATCTCATTAGAGGGGTTTGTTTGTTTTGTTTTCAAGGGGTGCTGATGAGAATCTATAGGATACTGTGTTGCTGTTTTAAAGGAAACTCTGACTTCACTGGCCCAATACATTGTTGCCTTCACGCTCCCTTTCTGCATTTGGAAATATAAAAAAAAATTTTCTGATTGCCATGGTATAAAGGCAGACTTATTAATACTACATATTAAAATATATTCTATCGTATAAAGACTTGCAATTGATTTAAAAATACTAAAGCACTTTCATAGAGCTTTGGAATTATTGTGAGCTCTTGGCACGGTGCCCACAATGTCTACAGAAGTCAGCCATGAGGCTGGGGATTTAGTCTGTTGTGATGGACTTCCAAATTTTTGGCAAAGAAGTGCCAATGTATGGCATGTGTTTTTAAAAAGTCTGAATCTGTAGATTATATTTTTTAAAGTGATGTTTGTTGCTATTGTTTGAGCAATGATAAGAAAAGCATGTTTACTGATTTTTTTTTTTCCAGAGTTTGCCTCAGCTCTATCTAGAACCAGAATGGCAGCCCTCAACCAACCCTCCTGATTTTCACTTAGCCTTGCTGTATCCTCCGTGGCTCTTTGTTACAGGAAACCTTGTTTCTGTCTTTCCCTAAATGGCTTGGGAAACAGTTTTTTAATGCCTGCAAAGTATTTGATTACAGAGATGCTGTGGTCCTGCTATGTGTCCAATCAGAGAATGGATAAATAGTGTACTTCCTCATAGCTTCCCCTGGTGCCCTTCCTTCATAAGGAGAGCACATCAGCTGAAGGTCGAAATACTGTGCCTGTCCCAGGTAGTCTGAGATGCTGAGGACATCTGACGATGCCATGCATTACTCCATATGGTGTGCTCGGGGGCAGGTTGGCCAGGTCAATCTGTTACTCTTGGCGATGAGAGTGTGACACCACAACCTACCACCTGTAAGTCTAGCTCAGCTTACCTTACTGCACCTTTTACTGGCAAAAAAACCAAACCAAACCAAAACAAAACACTGTAAAGAGATGTTGAGACAGCAGTCGGCAGCGCCCATGAGAGATAGGCATGTGTTTCCGAGGAGGGCTTAATTGATGTCTTAAAGTTGGTAGAGAGGGAGAGAAATGTTGTCACTCTATATTTTATCAGTTTCACAGTCTGTCCACTGTGTCAAGAGAGTATTCCCAGCTATCAGTGAGGGCTTCAGGTGAATACTTCACAATCTGCCCTTTTATTTTATTTTTGGAGACAGTGTTTCTCTGTGTACCTCTCTGTCTTGGCCTGGCACTCACTCAATAGCCCAGGCTGGCCTTGAACTCACAGAGATCCTGCCTGCCTCTGCCTCCCAAGTACAGGGATTAAAGGCGTGTGCCACCACCGCCTGACCAGACCATTCTTTTTAAATTCCTCCTATGGCTAGAGAACAAGGCTCTCCCTGTGTCATTATTCCTATGCCAGGAAGGAACATGCTCTTCACAATCTGGAATTAGATAGTTGAATGTCAGTAGTAAAAAATGCACTTCAGCTTTGCCGTTTCAACACAGGATTTTCTTCTTCCCTAAACATTCATTCTGGGCAATTGTATTCCTTCTATTCATACTTCAGAAACTGCTTTTAATATACTAGCTAGACTCCCTGAACATTCAGTCATTAGTTGTGTCCCCCTTTAGTGTGGACAGACACTAGCACACAAGCTGGACCTTTACAAAAGATGCTTTACTTAGCAGAGGTGTCCAGCTTTTTGCTTCTTGCAAATTTTGTTTGGTTTTTGTGCGTCCCTGCTTGCCCTCGCCCTAGCTAGATTTAGTTTTCCTCTGCAGATCCTCCTGGCTTATAGTGAGGACTCTCCCTGATAAAATGATTTTTGCTTGAAAATAGTGCTGTTGAGAATGTGTGGGGGGGTGGCGTACACTTGAGATCCTATATTCTAGTTGAACCGTACATGATGCTGTGGAGTCTTGATGTCCTGTGTGAAATCATGGTCTTTGGAGACCTGTGCTTGCTGCCACTGCTGCTGCCCAACTTTACAAGAGAGTGTGACACCATCAATTACTAGCCTTTGACCAAAGGTCAAGGGATGGTTGCTGCTGATTTTTGTCAAAATCCGTAAGTGAAGAAGACATCCTAAGTTTTCGGAGCTGCCTGTATTTACAAGATCATTGTATATTCCTTGAAGTCCTTCACTTAGGTGGTCTACCTAACCCTGGCTGCATGCACCATCATTTCCAAGCTAGTTAATGTAGTACTGAGATGCATTACTGCCGTGCAGCTGCTGCCCGAGCCCCTGAGTACCACCCACCTGGCCCTACGGTGCTTCTCTTGGGAGCATTATGTAGACCCTTGCATTTCGAGTGGCTGCCATTGGTGCCTGTGATGTCTACATGGTATCATCCCCAAATCTGCGCCAGTGCAGAGTTGGCCTTGTGCTCGCCCTATGAGGACAGCGAGTCTCTGGAGGATTCTGCCGTTGACTGGTGCGTCTGTCCTTAGCTGTCTTGTCCCACGTCTCTTGTCACTGCTTCTCTCTGTCTCCCAATCACTTAACCTCTTCGAGGCCAGGCACATGCTAATTCTGAATTCACCTGGAATTCCTTGCCCCTTTCCTCCCTTTCCAGCTCTATTTCACATTAACGTGCAACCCAAATGTCACCCGAAGAAGTCTGAGCTAACCCCATCTAGTTAGTCTCCCCATATCCTACCCTTGGGTCCTTGGTTTCTCCCCATCGTGCTCTGGTGACAGGGCCTATTGTTTGTTGTCATGGCTTTGCGTGTGTGGGCTCCAGAGATCATGTCAGGCAGATCAGCTTCTCTAGATTGAATCTGAAGCCTGGCCCCAGTAGGCTCCAGGATAAGAGTTCCAGGTGCCTGGGATTCACTTCTACGTATTACACCCAAGGCTGTTCTAGTATATACATCTACCATCAAATCCTTTTTGCTGTTGCTACCATAGTCTAGATTTGTTCATATGCTAGAGCACAGTCCATTCCCAATGAACTCCTGAGGGTTGCTAGAAGTCAGGGAGTGTTTGGAGTTAGCTGCAGTGTGTAACTAAGAGCCAACTCTTTATAACTGACTAGAAGTCAGTTTTCTTTGAGCATCCCTCGTGTCTCTCATCCCAGACATTCAGGGCTTTATCCCAGCTGAGGACCTCTCCGTTTCCCACCCCAGTAATTATGCACCCTCACACTTCCTACCTTGACTCCTACTCTTTCTGAAGTGCTTAGCTCTTCCCCGCCTGGAAGATACTACTGCTTTCTTTCCCCCCTGAGGCTCCGCGCAGACTGATTTTCTTTCTTCAGACAGTTACCCACTGTTAACCCCAAGCTGCTCTGTTCTTTCCTGGAGTAGTTGCCAGTCTTCTGATAGTGAGTTGGTTCTCAGAAGTCATGTGTGCGGTCTCTGCAGCTAGCTAGCCTGGGTCCCTGTTCTCCTTCCCTGCTAACCAGCTGTGTGAGTGGTAGCCAGTGTCTTGGCCTCTCTGACTGTCAGTTGGGTGGTGTTGACAGGGACTCATGACGGGTGTTACCAAATGGGAAAGGTTTTGAAAAGATGAAAGCAGGTAAATGTGTTGTCATTCACAACAGTACTTTCCTAGTGTTAGCTTTATTGTTACTTCTCAGGGGTAGCTGCTGTCAACTCTTCCTTGTCCTATGAGTATTTGATAGCAAGAACCTTCAGGTTCTTCACAGGGCTAAGCACAAAGTAACCTATTCTGTAATAACCGTCAACTTGAAATTAATAGTTAAACTTACTTAATAAAGAAAGTCAATTGAAAGTGAATTGTGAAAGCATCCCCCCCCAATTATCCATAGCAAGAAAATATGTTAGGACACGCCATCATTTTACAGTTACGTGAGTAAAGAGGGAGCTTCGAATAAATTGGTATTTCATTGTTTTGAATTCAGTGGTTTTAACTCATCCTGATTTCAGTGTTAGGATTTTATAAACAAACAAACAAACAAAGAAGCTTACAATGTGAATTTTACTTATGGATGAAGTCTGTGTTCTCTCATAAGATGCTGACATCCATCTAAAGTGCTTTTGGGTTTGAGTTAATTTCTGTCACACCCCTTTTTAGTGGATTGCCATGCTTGATACCAAAAGCCACATGATAGCATGATTTACCTGTTTTTGTGTTAAAATCAATAGTGGGACAAAGTGCAGATGTTAGGACATGAGCTTCTGGCTCTCTGTTAATCCACCCCGTTTTTCCTCACCACTTTCCTCCTTCTGCTAGAGGAATAGTAACCTTGACACCCAAGCTCTGTAGACTTGGTGTCCCTCATGGCCAGAGGTCACTGAGTATGTTCAGAAGCTGAGGTACAGACGTTGAAAGAAACTGAGCGGTGTTACTCTGTGAAGCAGCCACCTAAAACATGTTGCCTGCTTTTTTCTGTAAGGCCCATCATCTTCCAACAGTGATTACGAGAAGCCCAAATCATGCATTTCTCAAGGCTTCTTAGATATTTCTGGTTTATTAGCTGTAATTTGTATGTATGTGTATTATCCTCCTTGTTGCTATAATCCACACATTTTTAAAACCCACACATCATTAATTGAAATTATAAACTGTGCTTCCTACCTCCAGGCCAGCAGACAATAGGTATAGTCATGAGGAATGTAATTTCTAAAATTAGATTTACAACCTTGCCAACAATAGTGAGCAACACTTCTTTTAAAGGAAGGAAGCATTGTTTTACATTCTTATTACAAATGCTGGACATTATTGATACAGCTGGAATTCATCTTTTGAGCACCCCAGGGATCCGTCTCTCATCCCAGGGAGCCTGTAATTATTATTTGGTAATATTCTTTATTGAGCATGGAAGGGAGTTAAGATGCTCTGAGTATGTAATGGCCCTGGGTCTCTTGCTCTTGCTATGGACTTTTTGTTTATTGTTTTTGATTGGTTTCACAAGCTTAAGGTTGGACTTTTTTCTTTTTTCCTTAATTTCAAAGTATTATGTTTCCTTTTTCAACTCTTCTTTAGAAAATGTTCTGACATCTTAAAATTTAATTTGGTTTATCATTACTAATAATCTCAGAGAGCTCTATATACTTTTCAAATAATTTTGAGTTCTTCAGTATATTATTTTATGGTTATTAAGTTTGAATAAGTATCTATTATGTAGGATTATGAACTATTAATTGATTAATGTTTTGATTTTCATCTTTAGGTACCTTCTTATACACATGAGAGAAATTTATACTTTATAGAAATTTGCTAGACTAATATACAAGTGGATGTATAATAAACCTTGATTTTTCGTCATCTTATATTTGGTTATTATGTTTCCATTTTATTGAAAATAGGTTCTGTTCTCATACAGTGTATCCTGATTATAGTTTCCCCTCCCTCTACCCCTCCCAGCTCCCCCAGGCCCCAAATCCACTCCCCTTCTGTCTCTCATTAGAAGAGAACCGGCCCGTAAGGGATAACAACATCATACTGAAGTTCGCCAGGGCAACCCAACAGGAGGAAAAGAGTCCCAAGAGTAGGCCCAAGAGTCCGAGACCCACTCATTCTCAAGTTCAGGAGTCCTATAAAAACACTAAGCTAATGCCATAATATTTATGTAGAGGGCCGGGTGCAGACCCGTGTAGGCCCTGTGTTTGCTGCTTCGGTCTCTGTGAGCTCGCAGGAGCTCAGTGGAATTAGAGGGGCCTTGTTCTCCTGGTGTCCTCCGTCCCCCGCTGCCTCTTAAAGTCTTGCGGCCACCATGCGATTCCCTGAGCTCAGAGGGGAGGGATTTGTATCATCTTAGTAAGAACAGTAGAACCCTTTGCATGGTTTTTCTTACACAATAATTCTGGCAGATATTTTCATGACATCTTTAATTTAAAAGTGATATGTAAATTTCTCAAATAATACCCAGCAGATTATTGCCAATGTCTGCTGTGCCCGCATAGCAAGCAGAGCGCTTTACTTTAGTGATTGCAAAGTCAATCATTTGCTTCAGGAGAGCCTTTAAGTTCCCTTTTCAGTACCGATGCCGTGTTGACTTGGTTAAATTTATTAACAGTGAGCTATATTCGGTAAATGTAAGTGACACGAAGTAGTTCATAGGCAATAAAAAAAAAGAAGAATAATGTTATCTGTTTCCCACACTCCATCCTGTGTAGTTAATGAGCAGAGGGTGAGGCGCGTGTTGAAGCCGCAGGCTTTGTGTGTGTTACACAGGTGTGTACACTGTCCAGAAGAGGGGACGCTACCTCGGAAGCTACTAGACTGGCAGGTGCTCAGAACTCCCGTAAAGTCTTTCTCTTAGCTTCCAGCCATGGGTTCTAGTCTGCCTCTCCCATTGTTAATGGGATTGTTTTGTCAAATGGATGGATTCAGGAGTTTGTCAGACAGGAGAATAGTGAGTGGGGTATGGCTAGGTATAGCGGTAAGGCCCAGCATGAGGTGCGTGGAAAGAAGCGGACTCCAGCTGTGGAGCTCAGGCCGCTGCAAGCCTGGTAGGACGTGGATTGAAGCAGGAGTCTTTAGTCAAATTATATGGTGGTTTGGGGTTTGGCGCAGTATTCTCTAGACAGCTCAGAAGCAAAGTATTATTAAAGTAAAATAATAGTCACCTATGTCCTTCAAGAGGAAATCCTGTGGCGCCCTGAAGATTGAAGGAAAAAGGGTTGGTGGCCAAGAGAACGACTTCAATAAATCCAGCCGTTAGTCTTTTCAGCTTAGTTGTTAGCTCCTGCGTGGATAGAGTTGTTGTTGTTGTTCAGTGCTGTGTAACTCAAAATCTGCAGCAAACACTGGAAGTGTGGCTGCTTTGCATTTAGTCTGAGAACAAGTATGGAGAAATGATGACATATTCTGTGGCCCTCCAGGATGTCCGGTTCCTTCTGTTTATGGGTGCCGAAATATTTGTGTGTGGAATTTAAACTTTCAGCATTCTGTTCTTTCATTGTGTGAGCTTGGCTGCGTTTGGCTGTGTCCGTCCCTCGTGATCCTTCTTGTTCACTGTAAAACAGATGAGTGACCACTGGAATCCTTGGTCTTGGGGAAATTGGCAAATTTGGTCTTATTCCTAAACACCCGGAAAAAGAACTTGCATTTCTCTGCTTTATACTTTTGTTCTAAGTCATACTGTATTTTTGTATATACATTTAGAAATTTGTTTAGCATATATTTTGTACATTTGTATCACTATCTGACATTGTTTGGGGTTTTTAAAAAATAATGAATTCAATTTTATTTTATGTGCGTTGGTGTGAAAGTGCCAGATCCCCTGGAACTGGCGGTACAGAGAGTTGAACCTGGGTCCCCTAGAAGAGCAGACAGTGCTCTTAACTACTGAGCCATCTCTTTAGCCCCCATTGTTTAGGCTTTCATGTACTAATATGCTGAATTTTATAATTAATACATGTGTGTGGTTTTGTCTTTTGTTTTGTTTTTTCCAGAATACTATCATGGAGGCTTCTATTCAACTCCCCTCCTCCCTTTTCTCACCAAAGCAGAAGCGAGAAGTCAGAGCAACTGATGACTCGCTCTATAAACTTCAACTCATTGCATTCCGCAATGGAAAGCTTTTTCCGGCCACTGGGAATTCAACAATGTTGGCTGATGACGGCAAGCGGCGGACGGTAGTGACCCCTGTGATACTCACAAAAATAGGTGTGTGGCGGGCAGATGTTACCCAGCGGTGTGTGGCAGGCACCATGGCTTTGTCGGTTGAGCTTCCTTAAAAAAGGGCTTACTTTTGTCCTTTGTTGTTTTAACGGGTCACGAGTGAGAAAAGGCCTTGCAGAGTGCCCATTGGTGTATAAGCTGCCATCTGATCGTTTATGAAGTTTGTTTGAGGGACGCCGCTCTTTGCCATTTTCTCCAGATGGTGTGACCGTGGACACCCACCACATCCCTGTTAATGTGACACTGCGACGCATCGCGCACGGAGCAGATGCTGTTGCCGCGCAGTGGGACTTCGATCTGCTGAACGGACAAGGAGGCTGGAAGTCAGATGGGTGCTGTATACTCTACTCGGATGAGAACATCACCACCATTCAGTGCGGCTCCCTGGGCAACTACGCTGTGCTAATGGTGTGGCCGTTGTTAACTCGATGCATAAATACTAAATATTCTAATGCGTTTCTGTGCATAATTAAGCCCAAGCGAAGAATTTGCCTTTCTAACTTAACACAAATGGCTCTGTTTAATTATGGAAGAGGTGATACTGGATTTCAAGGGAGATTGAGTTACTACCAAGTGAAATGAACGAGACTCTGCTTGGTAGAGGATGCTCCCGTAACCCCTGCGTGGTATCAGCTAGGCTCTGACCCCCTTACAACACGGAGATACCAGCTAGGCTCTGACCTCCTTAAAACATGGAGATACCTTGGGTTTATGAGTTGAGCTTTGTCAGTTTAGGTCAGTCTGTTGGCCAAAGGGTGCACAGTGGGTAACAAGAGCTTTTCCTACTCCTGGCTTTCTGAGCACACACCCATAGTGCCGACCTGTTGAGTTGAGGAGGAGCAGGAGATGAATAGTAATGACTTTAGTTTGTCACTGCATGACCAGTATTGAAGCAGGGTCTTCTCTTGATTGACGGTCAGCCCCATTCTGCCCACTATTCAACGTTGTTGATGCCTGATTATTATGTCAGGTAACTTCTGTTAATATATGAGACGAGGTCTCTTAAAAACCGAGGTACTTGCTTTAGTCTTCTTACCCCTGAGCACACCGTGCTGAAATGAGCCACGTAGTACTGCTCGAACCTGCGGTTATTTTGCGGTTGTTACATGGTGCTAGCATCTTGGTTTTGTGTGTGTGTAGCAAACAGGAGTCACTTCAGCTCTGGGAGACATTGCCCCAAAATGGCCAAGGCTTCCCTGTTTTATTTAGCTCCAACTCCGAATCTGGTATCTAGGCAGTGTTTTACCCAAGTGTAAGTGATCTTGAAACATATACCTGATGAAATTTTTTCTTTAGTATGGCAGCATTTACCATTAGATTATAATAATAACCTTCCTCAATATTTGCTTTGTTTTCCTTTCTATTTTGTTTTAATGCCTTTCCTGGTCCATTGGCAGATGAGGCGGAGAAGTGGTAGGTTATTTTGCAGGTGATAGGATTGTCTTCTCAGTGACACCATGAATCTTTGCATGCAGCTATAAACAGTGAACTTGAACCATATCCAACATACCCGTCCTTCAACATGCATACTCTTGGGACATTTGATGGGTGGTGGAGTATGGGTCATTAGGACCAACCTCTTCTCCTTCTCCATCTTCTTCGCCTTCTCCTTCTTATTATTATTATTATAGTATTTACCCTTTCTGCTAGCTAATGATCCTCACAAGGTGCCTGGTTTCTGTGTAGTGACATCTCTCTGTTTTGTGACTGTTGATAAAAGCATCAGGGGCCTGTGAGCTGGCTCGGTGGATGCAGTGCTGGTTGCCCAGCCTGCGAGGCCATTCCTAGGACCCACACATGGCGGAATAAAGAACTGACTCCCTCAAGTTCTCCTCTGACCGCTACTTTTGTTAGGCCTTCAACAGTATATCATCCCTTCATTCCTCTCCCTCCCTTTAAAGCTTTCATATACCCCTTCTTGCTCGCTCTCTTTCAAATTCGTGACTCCTTTCCCCCTTATTATTACTGGTATATAACTACAACCTGTTCCTCATATGTATGTTTTAAAGGCTGGACATTCGGTATTAGATAACCAACCGATTGGTATATTGTTCTCTGGAGAAGGCTTTTTCTGCAGCTCTCCACATTTCTCAGTGTCCTGGGGTTTTTTTTTTTTTTGTTTGTTTGTTTGTTTTGCTTTTTATTTGTTTGGGTTTTTGTGTGTGTGGGGTTGACGCCCGATGAGTTTCCTCCCACTGCCACAGGGGGATATGTATATGTATTGGTGTCCTCCTTGTCCAGCTCACGTTTGGGCAGTCAGGGTGGTGATACGTCATGGTTGTCGCTTCTGACATACTAAGAGAGTCTCACAGCAAACTCCTCCTTCCTTTGGCTCCTAAACTCTCTCCACTCCACCTCCTCTTCCTCAGTGACCCCAGAGCCCTGGTAGCAAGTGTTGTGTGGTTGATGTGTCAGTGGAGACTTGGTCCCATAATTCTACATCTTGATTGGTTTTGGTTTAAACATATTTTTCCCCTCTCACATTTGAGAATAAAATAATCTGAAACTATGTAGTGTTTGAAGGAGAAACAATAGGCAATACAAGATTGTCTGAAATGTATATACTGCTAATCAGAAGTTGAGCAAAATAAATGAAACACAGAAATACTGCATTTTAATCCTCACCCTGATTCTGCACTATGTGAGACTTTTGTTTTTGTTGAATCTAATACGAGTTGAAAGTTTCTATTTTTGAACTTCCTAACTGTTCTTCTAAACTATTTAAATTAATATAATCCTTTTCTAGAAGGAATAAGCTATTCTTTTATCTTTTAGACTTTTAATCTTTTAAAAAAAATGTAAGACACGGTTTTTCAAAGCTGGAGGACTGCTAAGATCTTTCCCTCCTATTTTCAGAGTATCTTGTTTTATGAGATGTAACTGCCACCTAGAGGCAGAACATGGAAACACATCTTGGATTGCTGACAAACTTGTGGAAAATTCAGAGTTGCTTCTTCATCTTGCAGGCATGTAATGGAATTAAACCCACTTAAGGATGTAGGTGTTTCTCTGAGCATGTATTTAGCATGTATTAAGCCTTGGGTCCATTGTCCAGACTACAGCAGAAAATTAGACCTATTCTAGAGTAATTAACACCAGTTAGGATAGAGGTAATGCCTTTAAAATGGAAAAGTGTTGTCTTTGTTTTCTTCTAGACTTTGAGTCATAACTGTAATCCTGCCTTTCTTCCATGCTGTCTTCTTATATCCTCATAAAATCTAGATGTCCTTCTCCCTTGGGAGATAAGCCATGTGACGCCTCTTTATGATCCTTAGGTTGTTTCTGCTCGGTATCTAGCAGGATGAAAGCCTGCTTGGTTCTGGTCAGCCTGCTAAACTCAGCTATAGAGAAGCTGTCCAGAGCCCGAGGGGGGAAATCAGCAGAAGCTGGATCGCTGGATTGGGATCCGTCCCCGCGGGGTAGCCGGTGGGGTGAGGAGCATCCCAGGAGCACTGGGCAGTAGGGGACGTATGAGTAGACTCTGTGTGGAACCTTAATAGCTCATTCAGTAATAGTGAGGGTAGTGTGTTCAAGCCGCCTTGCTGTGCTTTTGTTACTATGTGTCATCTAGCTCATTGGTTCTCAACAGGTGTGTTGTGACCCTTTTGGGGTTATGACCCTTTCACAAGGGTCGCATAGCAAACATCCTGCATATCAGACCTCTACATTATGATGCACAACAGTAGCAAAACTACGTTGCAAAGTATTAGTGAAAATAATTTCAGGGTGGGGGTCACCACAACATGAGGAACTGTATTGAAGGGTCCCCGCGTTAGGAAGGGTGAGAACCACTGTTGTAAAGACGGGCTACTTCCTTGTCCCTCTTACAGTGCTTGCAGGCTTGTTTGTATGAAGTGTGTCTGGTGAAAGCAAACCAGTTCCAGTTAGTATGTAGGTGACCCGGAATGCCAGCAAGGTCTGTATGTGAGTATGCAGTGAGAACCCCCTCCCCAGCTGTAAGTTTTAAGTAACCACAGTTAATAGCTTCATGCGTGTTGAAGAGATTTGTATGTTCAGACAACATGAATATGTAGTACGGTTTTCACCCACTTTCACACATGCTTGCTTATATTATCCTAACGCATGCTTCCTGGATAGAGAGATGACTCAGTGGGTAAAGACTTTGCTGTGAAAGAATAAGGACCCATAGGCAAAGGCCAGATGTTATTGTGGTTGCCCTTAAGGACAGAACTGGGGAGACAGAGGGCCCATGGTGCTCCCAGTTCAGTGAGGACCCTGCGTTAGGCTGTAAGAGGGAAAGTGATCCGGGAAGACACTGGTACTGACCTGGACACACTGTGGTGCTGATGCATGCTAAGTAAGTGGAGCTGGAGCGCTGCCAGCCGATCTTCAGTCAACACGCAAGCACCAGGCACCTCCTGGTGTCTGTGGTACACGGCAGGTGTCATGGCCTCCCGTCCACAGGTCTGAAGCTAAGATAGGTTTGCTTTTGGAACGATGGTGAGAATCCAGGCAGTGTGTTCCAGAAGCACTGTTGGAGGGTTGTTTTGTTTGTTTTTTGTTTAGCTCTGAGGAATATCTCCTAGCCCTGCCCTAATTGCCTTGGATTTTCTCTGTTGAGTCTATTTCCAGCAGTTTGCTTATATAGTGTCACTTTTCACATTTCATGATGTCTCTGCAGGATAAATTTTTCGAAAATAAAAGTAATGATCATAAGGTTTAGCTCTTTTCGTGTTTTCATTAACTTTTACTACTGGGCAGAGGACATAAACCCTTGAGCTTGCATAGGTACTGTTTCCCTGTGTGATGAGCCTGCCTCTAACCATCACGGTTGCTACTCCAGCACCCACCCGGAAGCCCCATGTCTTTTTTTCTCCATCTCTGACATGGTGTGCCCTAGGTAAGAGGTGACTGGGCTCACAATCCACACTTGGCAAGCATGGTGTTGGCTTTGCGTGTCTGCTGTCTTCCCTGTCATTACGTTGGAGAGATTTCTCTCTGTGCGTAGCAGCAGTTTGTATATTTTAAAAGCCGTGTATCGTTCTATGCAAAGAAAATCCTGAAAACTGTCCGCTGCGTGATAATGAGCATTTGAGTGGAAGCTGATCTGACAATTCATGCTTGCTTTTGATTGGCTGCATCCTGGGGAGTGGAGGCCAGGATGCTAAACCATTCACATGCTCCCTGAGCTTCAGGATTAATGGCCCACAGTTGACCACATCACCGGTTCCGGTTTAGTCTGAGTTGTTGGGATGCCCCTCAGTTGCTCCTCGTCCTCCCTGACATCCATGATCCTTGGTGTCTTTGGCCTTTGCTGTGAATGTCTTCACTTGGTCTGTGCCGTGTGTTTCGGGGCTGTAGCTCTCATTTATTCTCTGGTGACTGAGATGTTGAGCCTCTAAGGATTCTTACAGACTGGTGAAGGCCAGGCCGAGCGGAGCTTGTTTCATGGGGATTCCTGAGGGGAAGCCTGAACACAGCTCTTCTTGCATGTCGGTTTTGCAGAGCCTTTCCAGACTTCCCTCTCCTGCTTCCCTTTGCGTTAACAGAATGCCTTGATGGTTTTGTGCCTGACCTCTTAGGGGTTTTTGTGGTCAGTGTTTTTTTTTTTTAAACATCCTGTTAAAGAAATCCTAGTCTATCGCAAGTTCATGAGGCTCGTCATACTTGCCTCCACCCACCCACCGCGCTTTTAATTTTTTCCCTTTTTTAATTAATTTTTTTTCATCTTTTGTTTCTTCAAGACATTCCAGTGTGATTTTACGAACACATTTAGTTTTCAGTATTCATCTAACACTAATTTTGAGTGTTGTATGAAGTAAAGGACCCCATCTTTTAAATAATCCTTTTTTCCTTAATGGGATTTTTAAACATTAGTTCTTAAAATGTTAAGTATTCTTTGGCCATGTATTTGAGCATCATGACTTTTTCCTTAAGGGAAATTTAAAGGCTTCCTAGAGATCATTGTCCGTTTTCCTTTCCTCCGACTTTCTTTGTCCTGTTCTGATTTCCGGTCCATTTTTAATTTGCTTTATCGGTAAGGTTTGAGTATACCTGCATCGTGACACATGGGGTCCAGAGCAGATCCTGAAACACGCAGGCAATTGCTGTCCCCATGGCTCTTATTCATGACATGATTATAATGAAAAGAAATCAAACCTGTTCCTGTTTCATATTTGGCCTTCTTGGCCTTGATTACCCCTGTGCTCTGCTAGGGGTGAATGGGGCTGTTCTGCTTTTCTACTTTTCTCTGTCTCTGTGGAGATCCTGCTTGGGTTCTGCTCCCCTCTGCAGGACAAAGCCTGACTGAGGTTACCATTAGTCTGTCATGTTGTGAGTGTCCCGTGTGGGTTTCTCCTGTGTCTCTAACAGTGTTACTAACAGGAATGATAGGTTCACCTTTTCTCCTCTTAGTGCTGGTTTTATATAATGTATTTAGCATGTTTTTATTTCATAGTCTTTATTGCTATATAATATGTAGTTCATAATAACCTCGGTCATAGATCTCTTTTGTTTGCTGACCTGTAGGCTTTTAATGTCCTACTAACCTAATCTTTTCATTGGTCTCTTCTTCTTATATTGTCTTATAGTGCTCAATCCAGCAAGCTGCTCCCTCTGCCTTCCCCTGAAATCCTGAAAATCTAAGGGTGATTTTTATGGTTTGGACGGTTCTGTGTTGAACAGTTAATAAGTACCTACAGGACACCATGCAGATGCTGAGGGATTTACTGTCTGCCCTCTGCACATTTTTCTAGGTCTGCAATCAACTGAAGTTTCTTTGCATTTGGGCAGGTCAGTCTACCTGTGGGAGCAGGATCCATCATGATGGAGCAGAGGTTCTGGCATTTGCTCTTCTTCAGTTTTCCCTGGAATGATTTGCGAGCAAAATTTGGTGCTTTGAGATTCTGTGCTACTGTCCTGCTTCTGTGACTGTGTATCAGGCTGTACCCAGGACTGTGGGTCACGTCTTCGCATACCCTTCTGCAGTCTATCCCCACGTCCTGTGAGATGATGGTGTCTCTCTGTGTCGTGGGAGATGACGACCCCAGTTCATTGAAGACCCTGAGGGTTTATCCTCAGCTCTTAACTTCTCTGCTGCTGTGGCTGCGTCTCCCTCTCACTAGATGAGTTTCTTGAGGACATGCTCTGTAGACCCATATTGTGGGCCCCTTACTAGGGCATGCTGTGGAGTCATGGGTGAGTCCTCTGTTTGTTTCCCTCCGAGTACCGAGTTCACCCTGAGTCCTCCGAGGTATACACACTTGACAGCTAAACTTCTTTGGATCTAATCCTCACAATACTAAATGTCTACACGACTCAGTTTTGTGACCTATAAAATGGAGCTAATCATTTACCAGCCTCAGCACTGCTCCAGGTAAAGTGCTGAATGGTTGGTGTCTGGGTTTTGCTGTCTCAAGTGGCTTGCTGCCGTTGATGGCTGAGTTTTGCCTCATACGGGGCTTGTTGTAGTTGGAGCTTCAGCAAGCACAGTCAGGCTCTGCTCTGTCCTCCACCCTCCGCACCACGTGGCTATGACCTGTAAGCACAGGAGCCTCCTTGTGCACAATGTTTGGCCTGTTCCTGTTTTGGGAACTTGAATTCAATGTCTGATGGTTTTGCTGTCCTGGAGACATTGCCATCTACCTTGTTGTCTGAGCTGGTGACTGTGAGGGTGTTAAGTGCTGAAAGGCATCAGGGAGGGTGGAGTCTGTATTTTCCTGCAGTCACGTCCTGTGGGGTCCTGCTCACAGTGGAGTAAGAACATGGTTCAGCGTTGAATGTGACCCCTGGACTCAGTGGGTTATTCTTTTAAAAGGATAGAAACATGGGGAGGAGCTGTGTTGGCGGAGACTGGGGGAGTTGGTTTAAGGGAGTAGGGCGTGGAGAAGATGAAGATGCATTGTGTACATGTTTGGACTTTTCAAAGAGTAAATTTGAAAAGTACAGCACAGATAAGTGTCCTCCCAAGGTCTGCCTGCTGCAGGTCGGGTTAGCAGCTTGTACAACTCTAGATGGAGGAACTGGTGAAGGGCGTGTGGTGCCGGGGAGGATACTGGGTGACTGAGGACCTCTGTAAAGGATATTAGAATCCTCATCTCCCGTTTGTGTTCAAGCCCACATTAGGCAAACACCTTCATCTACTGAGTGCTTCTCCTATGATAGGCTTACCTTGCCACAGGCCCGACAGAGGACCAAGTGTTTAGGGGCTGAAACCATTAGTCAGAGTGAACTTTTTCCTCTTTGTAAGTGGATTTATCGTAGGTGTTCTGGTCAGTGTTTCAGAAAGCTGGCTAATGTGGTATTAATAGAAGAGTCACTAAAATCTTATGGGATACCGTTGTGTGTTCATTCTGTTAGTTACCAAAGATTATAGTATGTGAAGTCTGTGTTACGGTTTTAAGCATGGAGATGAGACTCAGGTTCTGGCTGAATGAACAGCATGCCCTTATGATAGGAACATAGATGGCGTGGTGTTTTTAATGACAAATGGCTTCCTTAGGTGTATGTATTTTTTGAACACTGGGTTCTATGTTGATGTGGTTTGGCGGTTATGGAACTTTTAGGGAGTTGAGCTTTGGGGGGGGGAGGAAATACATCACTGGGGTAGGCATTGAGCATTTATATCCTCACCTCACTTCCTACCATTCTTTCCTCTGCTTCCTGTGTGTAGAAGAAATGTGATCTGCCAGATTCCTCTCTTATGCCCATGTCATGCTTCCCCAGCCATGATTGACTCTTACCCTTTGAAACTGTGAGCCCAAATAAACTTTCTTAAACAATAAATAAATAAAATAAAGAATAAAAAGCTTGGCAAGGGACATTAGCCCTTGAATCCTTGAGTAGAACACAGAGATGTCAGGTCCAGAGGTTTTGGCATGATTCAGTCATTCAGGAAAGTTCTAGTAACTAAATGTCCATAACAGTCCATGAACTGTTTTTGTCCCCTCAGGATCTGACAGGATCAGAGCTGTACACTCCAGCGGCCAGTCTCCTGCATCCTGTGATTTATACTACTGCCATCATCCTCCTACTGTGTCTCTTAGCTGTCATCGTCAGTTACGTGTACCACCACAGGTAAGGGAGTGCCCCTGACCATTATCGATCTGCACACTTGGATCATTTCACATTGCTCTGTGGTACCTACCAGAGGTGCCCTTACAAATTCAGGATGCATACCAGACTGCACCACACCAAGTCTTCATTCATGCCCATCCGGGATGTGCAGGGTCATGACCTGAGACTCCAGAGCTAATTTCAGCCCTGAGGAATTTTTTCATTTGCCCTCTGCTCTGTTAAGGACATTTTCCCCTTTCCACTTTGCCAGGGGGGTTCCTGGAAGAGAAGATGGGGGTATGTGTTGGAGGCTGGGGTAGTTGTCAAAGGAGCGAGGCCTGAAGGAGAATGGTCTTCATCTGTAGGGGTCTGTGCAGAGGTATATCTAGGCAGTAGACTGTCTGTACTTGTATTTTACAGCTTTCTCAATGTCCTGATATCTTTAAAGATGGCACTTTTAAGAAAGTGGATGACATTTTAGCAGAAGATTTGGTTTCTGTTCATTGGAGACACAGCTATGGAAACTTACTTTCTGATTGGAAGTAATGAGCTAAAAGGGTTTGTGGAGTGGGAAACTCACTGTACGAAAGATTCTGCTAGGACGTATTTTCCTATTTAAGTTGGACATGTATGGCATTTCTTGACATTTGCTTTGGAAACAAAAGGTGATTTTGATGTATTTTAAAAAAAGAAAGAAAGACTTCAGCACTTTATTACAAAAGACCAGGAGGAAAGGCATTGGGCATTTAGGTCTTGTGTGCTATGATCCTTTGTCAGGACCAGAACCCTTCGGCACACTGCAGACAGCTCCACAGAGCCAATGTGTCACCCAGACGTCTAAGAAGGTAGACATCATTAGTGACAGTTGTCCATGTTCTTCTCACGATGGAGAATTTGTATAGCTTTAGTGAGTGCTGTGAACCCGTAAAATGTCTTTGTAACACGTAAAGCTAGATGTTAAGAAACAGTGGTAGGTTAAGGGTCCCCCAAATTGTTGGTGTGTACGTATAGTCATCACACATGTCCGGTAAGTAAGGTTTTAAAATTGGAAGCATTTAAATGTCGCCTTTCGTGCAGCTGGACTTAACCTGGGGGTGCCCGTCAGAGCCCTGCTACGGTGTCAGTCACAGTGCTCACATCCCTCTCTCCCCCGACAGTTTGATCCGCATCAGTCGCAAGAGCTGGCACATGCTGGTGAACGTGTGCTTCCACGTTTTCTTGACCTGCGTGGTCTTCGTGGGAGGAATAACCCAGACCAGAAATGCCAGCGTCTGTCAAGCAGTAAGTCCAACTTGAAAGGTTTTAAGATGGAAAAAAAATATATTATAATAATAGAAAAATAACTGTGTTTCGTTCACTGCAAAACAGAAAACTTGTTTCTCCGGAGTCTTCCCTTTGCCCGCAGCCCAGCCTAACGCCTGCTCACGAAGCGGTCTAGCAGTGTTTTTAAAGTTTTGAGTACCTCTTCTCAGCCTAACAATGACTAGCTCTAAAAGCTTGTTTCTGTTCTTGACAATTGCCTGTTATCTTCTGTCAAGCCCTTTGCAGTGCTTAAAGGTTCATATAAATGTTTATGAAGTCCCTCTGCGTAAAAGATAAATGGCATTTTTTTTTTCTGATAGTAGATTTTAAATCACTTAATCCACTAATGAAAACAAGAGGAAATTGGGCAAAATTAAAAAACCACAACAATAATAAAACCATGAGGTTTGGGAAATGTAAAGAATTATTACCTGTGCCCTTCAGATGTAACATTGCTAACTTATTCTCCTCCACGTAAGAGTAGGACAGGGTGTAGTTTTAACTCCTTATTTGTACATTGCTTACCTAAGAAAAAGAAGCCTGATACAATAAGGAGGAGTTAGACTGTGTGGACTTCGATCTCAGTTCTACCGTTTGTTGCCTGTGTTGGAGGGGACCAGTTTGTTGACCTGTCTTGAAATTGTGACATAAAACATAGCGTGTGAGCTCTGTCTCTAGCACCTAGTACACATGCATCTTGTCTGGGGACTTCCTGCTTCGTGTGACTCTTGAGTGTCCCCCTGTGCCCTTCAATAGCTGCTCCCATGCCCGCATTCCTCCAACAGCTAGCCGTTTCCCGTCCTGCTTCACTGCCTTTCACTACTGGGGTGTACAACATCCAGTGTCCTTAAAGTTTTATGTTGTTGACTATGACATAATTTCCTTCTTTATTAGGATGGAGTAATATTCCACGTTAAGGCCTCTGTGTATTTATTATAAATAGGCATCGTTTCTACTCCTTGGCTGTTGTAAAGCTACAGTGAACATAGAATATAAATATCAGTTTGAAATCCTGATTCCCATAGTCAGTGTGTGTGTCTCTTTCATTTCCAAACTGCGATTTGCAGTGGTAATTGAATAGTTGGGTAATGTGATTGCACATGTTTAAAAAAATAATAACTGGATTCCAGGAGTTCCGCTTCGTGTTTAGCTGTGGGTGTCTGCTTCTGCTTCCATCAGCTACTAGATGAAAGTTCTATGATGGCACGTAAGGTAGTCATCAATCTCATTATAGGGGAAGGACAATTACCTCTTCACTATAGCTTAGATTCTTAGTTGGGATCCTGGAATCCAGTTGTAGAGAGGCAGGAGGGATGAGCAAAGAGGTCAAGACCAGGCTGGGGAAACTCACAGAAACAGCTGACCTGAACAAGAGGGAGCTAATGGACCCCAGTCAGACAGCTAGTGAACCAGCATAGGACTGAACCAAGCCTCCTGTTCTTGGGTGTCAGTTAAGAGGCCTGGGCAGTGGAACCAGTATTTATCCCTAATGCTCAAATGGACTTTGGGAGTCCATTTGCCATGGAGGGATACTCTCTCAGCCTAGATACACAGGGGAAGGCCTACCCCAAATGATGTGACAGACTTTGATGATCCCTCCTGGAAGGCCTCACCCTTTCTGGGGAGTAGATTGGGGATGGGATGGAGGATGGGAGGGAGAGGGAACTGGGATTGATATGTAAAATAAGATCATTTGTAAATTAAATAAAAAATTTTTAAAAAGCCAAGTAATTCACACATATATTACTAGAAATGACATGAAAGTTTAGAAAAGACTAAGCATGACTTTAACCTACAGCCCTCTCCTGCCAACATGCAGACATGATGTCTTGGTTATAAGAGGCATAGCAGCTCACAGTTTAATGCTAGCACTTGGGAGGCAGACTCTGTGTTTTCAAGGCCAGCCCCCCCCCCCAGGAATCCATGACCAAGGCATTTAATACGAGGCTCACTGCACCATGACAGAGTGGGCAGCTATGCAGGCATGGCACTGGGGATGAGTGGGTTAGGTCTCGGGGAGGACATATGTCCACAGACATCAGCTCAAGCTGGACTAGAAGGGTTCCTGGTGGTTAGATAAAAGCCAGCGTTCCTCAGGGACTTGAGAAACAGCTACCTGGCTGCTAAAAGGAATCATGTCCCTTGTCTCTGGCAGAAGGGACACATGACCCTTCAACGACATACACCTGTGGTGGCGTATCCAAGCCAATGCTGGTCTCCAGACCCCCTCACTCCTTACCCACAAGCCCCTGTTTACTTCCCCCGGGGTATTTCAGTTTGTTCACCCCATATGTAATGGCAAGCCCCCCCCCACGCCACACCTTTACTATTATTGTCCCTTCGCTCACAGATAGCGCGGGCCATGTCCAGACTTCTTTTGTTGCTCTCCGCTCTCACACAGAGCACTTCCATCTAGCCCATAGCTATGAGGGTCCCAGCATCCTGTGTGCCCTGTTGGTTCCGCTGTGAGTAGACACATCCTATGAGGCTTTACCTTCGGAAGTGAAAGGTTTGCAAACCGTGGAGCCCGCAGCTTCATGCTTAGGTTTAACGACCTCGCTCATGTGGGGATGAGTCCGCGCATGGGCATGCATATTCATGTAGCGTTAGATTCAGTAGCAGAAACCTGGAAGCAACTGAATGAATGCCTGCCACGGACACTGAGAAGCCTGGGCATGTAGAGAATGGTGAAGAGCGCGGCCGGCGAGGCTTAGAGGGAAAAGGGCTGTGAAATCACATTCACGCCGAGAGCTCCTTTTCTTAAGGTAAAGATGACTAATGTAATCCACTTTCAACAAAGATTTGCAGGAAAGTGAAGGAGTAAGGGTAGATGGTGATAGTTATCTGGAACGGGGGCTGTTGTCAGGGTCTGAGTTTTATCTGGCTAGTGAACTGTCGGGTGATTATTACCCAGTGAACAAATTTATTAACAGACAGGGGCCGTGATCGGCCCAGTCATGTTGTGCTGTGGCCTGTTGGTGGGTGCTGGTAAGAATTGCAGAGAGCACTCCGTGACTGAGTTCCGATGCTAGCAGGCTTGTACTAACTTCTCAGCAAGTGTTAGCTAGCGCTCCTGGCTGTGTGGTGTGTTCCCGTCAGCCCTTCCTCTGCCCTTAAATGCGTACTTCCAGATAATAAGTCTTGGATCAGCACAGTACACAGACAGACGGCAGCTTCTTTGTCCCTGCTCCTCGCCCATTCTTGTCACGGCTTCTGGCTTATGTTGAAGGTTCATCAGTAACGGTTTTAGAGATACTGTCCCTCATCGCCCCTGTCAGAGCTGGCTACAGTCCCACAGTGCCTAATCACTCTTCCTTTCTCTGGACTCTAAGCTGTCGCTGGATCGCGGGATTCTTAACTTCTAGCTAGATGAGAGTTGTATCAGTTTGGTTCTTCCACGTTTATCTAGAAACCAGCCCGGCATCTGACCCATAGTAGATGCTCTGCAGTTACAAAAAAGAAAAGGAGAAGAAGCCATCACCGCTGCCTGTGTTTGCAGATAGAAACCGAGCCCCAGGCCTTGCCGAGCATAGTTCCTGTTAGAACCCACAGCAAATGTCTTCAATTTCAGCCCAAAATGCTCCTTGGTTTCCTGACAGACATGTTAATTTATTCATTAAGGAAATGGATAGGAAGGGACCATTGTAAAGATTCCCAAAGGATGTTGTATAGCCTCTCTACAATGAAAAGGAGAGCGGCGGCATGGATTTCCCAGGACCTCAGAACAACGCTCCAGCGAAAGGGTTATAAAGGAGTTTTTCAGTGTGTAGCAGACGCAGCAGCATTGTTGGGGTGTTCATGACTCGAGGCTCCTTGCTTTACACTTCCATTGTAACAGGACTCAGTTGTTGGATCTGGGAGCTGTTGTGTGGCGTGCAGAATTGTGGGTGAGAATTCCAGGTCCTGGTCAGTGTAGGCAGTCATTCTATGCCCGCCTCATCCAACGGTTGTACTAGTCTCTCAGCCTAGTTGAGGCTTCTGTATTTCTCCTGTAAGCCATGTCTCAGGCTGGCTAAACTAGCATGGTCCTTACACGCTTTCAACCCTGCTAGGCATGCTAGGTAGTTGGGATGCAGAAGGAGATGGGTCTCTGAGTTCAAGGCCATAGATTGGTCTACAGCGTGAGTTCCAGGCCAGCACAGTGAGACCCTGTCTCTGTATAAACAGAGTTTCAACACCAGATGCCTGAACTGAGAGCGTGGCTGCTCGGAGGTGTGGTTGACGAGGTTTTTGTTGTAGGTATGAAGGAAAAGTCCAGAGGAGAGAAAAGAAAGTAGTGTGTTGAACATGACCAGCAGACTGTCCTTGGCCAGGGGAGGAGAGGAGAGGAGAGGGGAGGGGACAGGAGAGGAGAGGAGAAGAAGAGGAAGAAGAGAGAGCTAGGGGAAGACAAGCCGCCGGGAGCTGGAGAACTTTAGGGTAGAGACAGGCAGGGGTGGTTGTGATGCCGAGAAAGCCTGGGGCCAGCAAGTGCTTTAGTATGTTAAAGGCATCCTCCCATTTAGCAGCCAGTTTCCTGTAGTCCTGGCAGTATCAAAGCGGACCAGGCACCCAATCACTGAGCCCTAATGCGGTCACTTGTAGGTGCCATCGTTTTGCACAGGCACGTCATTAGTGCAGCTCCAGCTCACTCTTCAGGAGTCAGTAGACCCACAGTGGGGTGGTACTCACATTCTGCTCCACAGTGATGTGTAGGGAGTGTTAGGGAGGGCCAGCTGCCGGCTCCCTACATCAGTTCCTGTTTTCTGCTGCCTTTTACTGTTGTGTGGAAGGAGCCAGAGGAGCGGAGTTGGGAGGTAGAAGGGGCCTGGCCAGGGTTGGGGGGAATCTGGTTCCATCCAGTTCACCATGTACCACTGAGCAATTGCCTGGTTGTTCATTTTCTGCCTTTGGTTTTCTTGGCTATTATTAAGGGATTTGCTGGACCTTGTGTGGTCGTTGTACTGTTCTGTGATTTAATCTACAAATAGAGTGCCAGCTGCCCTTCTCCGGCGTCCTTTTCGATCTGCTATCTGGGGAATTGCTGAGCTGGCATGGGAGAGCCAGAAGGGAAAATCTAATCAGACAACAGGAAGCGCTGTCTACTCACAACGGTGTCTTTAGCTTTTCTATTAACCCTAGGGGATTCTCTTTGCCTATCATGTAAGTGTGTAGACTGAATTGCGTAGAATTAACGTGGTGCCCCAAATCACTAGTGGTGCTCCTCTACTGCTGAACGGTTTGATCTGATCCCCCCGCTTCCATGACTGAGCTCTGTCTGCTAAGGGCTTGGGCCTGTAGACTATCAGAGTGTGAAGAGCCTTTGGCTTGCCGGAGACTTTTGTCCTGCATGGTGGTGATCTCATGGTGATGCCAGGAGCGTGAAGTCAAATAAATTTCAGAAGTGTATTTGTGGGCATGTGACTCTCACTTACTACTGGAAGCTGTTGTTTTCCCTCTCCCCTCTTCCCTCCCTCCCTCCCCCTCCCTCTCTCCCTCCCTCCCTTCCTTCTTCCCGCCCTCCCTCCCTCTCCCTGCCTCCCTCTCTCCCCCCTCCCTCTCTTATTTCCTTCCTCCCTCCCCCCTCCCTCTCTCCCTTTCTCCCTCCCTCCCTTCCTCCCTCCCTTCCTTCCTTCCATTTTGGTTCTTCAAGACAGGATTTCTCTGTGTAGCTTTTTGGAGCCTGGCCTGGAATTCCCTCCGTAGACCAGGCTGTCCTCAAACTCACAAAGATCTACCTGCCTCTGCCTCCTGCGTACTGGGATTAAAGGTGCTCACCACCATCACCCAGCCAGCCTGTTCACATATTCATCATACGGGTGATTTCTTTCTTTTTTTTTTTTTTTTGCTTTGTTTTGTTTTTTGGTACAGTTGTGTCTACTACAGTTTATTTTACAGTGATTTAGTTTAAAAAAATAAGTTAAGTATTTCAGAGTATATATTACCATATAATTAACATATAAGTGGGATTTGCTCCTTTTAGGTAAGATTTAATTATGTTTATGCATGTGTGTCTGTGTCAGGTATGTGCACATGAGCGCTGATGCCCGCAGAGACCAGAGTCTTTGGATCCCCTAGAACTGGAGTTACAGGCAGTTGTGCTGGGAACAGAACCTGGTTCCTCTGTGAGAGCAGTGTACTCTCTTAATCCGTGTACCATCTTCCAGCCCTGAGCTCATACCTATAGACAGTATGATAATGATTGTCCTTTCTCCCCTAACCCCCATTGTCCATGTGTGTGCGTGTGTGTGCATGTGTGTGTGTGTGTGTGCGCGCACACACACGTACGTGTGCATGTATCCCCTCTGTGTAGTTCACTTTTTACTTTATTATTGAGGTAGGGTCTCTCTCAGAGCCTGAAGCTTGCTGATGTATCTACTTCTTCTAACTAGCTTGCTTATTCTAGGCATCCCCTATTTCCTGAGTGCTGGGGTCAAAGGGGGCTGCCATGGCTACCCAGCTTTCCTTTGGGTTCTAGGGATCTGAACTCTGGTCCTCAAACTTGCACAACAGAGTGTTCCTCTCTGCTCCAAGGTAGCTTTCTTCAATAATGATATATTATTAATGACACTTATTAAGTCGTTTATATGCCCCGTGGATTACTTATTTCTACACTGTTTAGAAATTTTCCAGGCTATGATTTATTCGGAGGTGTGACCACCAGGTTGTATTTTATGAACTGCCCGTGTATTGGATGGAAAGGAGCCTCTGTCCTGGTTCTCAGTTCTGTTTTCCTGGTTCTTGTCAATTGATGGTTTGTCATGTGACTGTCGGAACGTCTCTGTTTTCATGATTGTTTTAGTGGAAGGTATTCTGAAGAGTGAACACGTTCTTGGAAATTTGTAGAAGCTATAGAAAACAGTGGCTAACTCTTTAGGTTTCCTCCTTGGAAAAAGTGTCTGCCTTGCCCCGTCTTGAAACAGTTATAATTTACTGTATTTAACAGTTCTGATGGGAACCAGGGGCTATTTCTGGCCTTCGGAGCTCTCCACGACTCCTGACTTTTCTGGTTGAGCTAAGCAGGATCGGCTGACCTCGCACTTGCAGTCTGTAAGCTTTATTCTGGTCAGGGCCATTTGGACCTCTGTGACACTGGGCTTTTACTACAGACTGGCCATTCTTCTTTTGCTGCTGACCCGGGTTTTGGCAGTGTCAGCTTGAGTTTTGTGAGGGTTGGAGAGTTAAACCCTCTAGTGCGGTTTTTCTGGATGCTTTTCACTTCTAGGACTTCATCTATAACAGTTTCGTAGGGGAGAAGTACTGATGCGGGATTCGGTCCTCAGCACTACGGAAACGCATGTGCGGCGATGTACTCTGGGAACCCGGGAGGGTGAGGGGGTTGTAGGCGTTCAGAGCCGTCCCCTCCACTACGTAGCAACATTGAAGTTAGCCTGAGCAGCTTAACATCCTGTCTCCACAATAAGCAAAGAAGCAAGAACAACCATAGGAAAAGCAGGCTGCCCATGATATGCCATGGTTCTACATCTAGCACTTTGGAAGAGGGGGTAGAGGATTGCTGCAAGCTCAGGACCAGTCTGGGTTACATAGTGGGCTACAGGCCACCCTGGGTTACAGATCCAGTCTTAGTCTTACCTTCTACCCCCATCCATAAAAGAAAACAAGATTATTCTAGATTGTATCTTTGCTCTGGTGATATAGAGTGCTTTTCTTCAAAAAAAAAAAAAAAAAAATCCACAATCATCATCATCATCATCATCATCTAGAATTTGATCTCCTGCCAGAGGTGATGCGACAGGCCATGTGATCAGCACGTTTTCTGTCATCACTGGCGAATGAGTGTCATATACTGCGCTGCATTACACCGGCAGGCCCCTACGGTGCCCTTGGTTGTGGGTCCACTCAGTCTCCAGTGCTGTCTGTTGCGGAAGCCCCAGCTCTCAGTCAGAGCCCGGGTGTCTTCTTCTAGAGCATATCATGTTCCTGTTGTGTCCCAGTTACCTTTGTCCTCTCTGTTCCTTTTGTCAAGGACAGAAGTTGAGCTAACTGATAAATTGTATTATTGTTATCACTAAGGGGTCAGTTCCAATATACCTCCGTATGCTTTTTAACCAGACTTGAGCAAACGTTTCTTCTTCTACTTTTCCTATGTTGTCCAATCTTCCTTGTAGGTTGGGATCGTTCTTCACTATTCTACCCTTGCCACGGTATTGTGGGTCGGAGTCACTGCTAGAAACATCTATAAACAAGTCACCAAGAAAGCCAAGAGATGCCAGGACCCTGATGAGCTGCCTGCTCCACCACGGCCGATGCTCAGGTATCGCACGTGTAGTGTTTGCTTACGTTGCAGCATGGTCACGGTTTAAAACGACAAGAAAGCATTGGTGTGGATGTCAGAGGTGAAGGGAAGGACTTGTACGTTGGGATGACTGGCAGTGGGTGTTGTCACCATCTGCGTCTCCATTGTGGGTCACGTGCAGCGCAGGAAGGCGGGATTAGATCTATTGTCAGCTTTATAGAGTGTTGGTTTTTATTTTGTTTTTTGTTTTTTTTTTTGTTTTTGTTTTTTTGAGGTCATATGTCATTGATCTTAATCTCAAGAACTAATTTATTCTCCGTACAGAAGACAAAATGAGTTTTGGGTTATCTATCCTTCCTGCCCGTTATGATAACAAAGAATTAGGAATGGATCGATTGTGCTAGATGAGTCAAATTACCAGTGCTGAGTGGGTTCACAGAGGACCTGGTGTGCGCGTGGCTGATGGGAGCCCCTGCCCTTGAGCATGCAGAACTGGCTGTGGGCTGAGGAATGTCTGTTGTGGCCCCGTGAATGTGCGGACTCCCACATACAGAAGGGATCCACTTGTGCTGGAGGAGGGCCTATGCTGAGCCACAGGCATGAACCTGGCTTTGGGGTTAAGGGGTTGGCAGAGGTGCAATCAAATGGAGAAATGGAAAGAGACAGCTATGAAGTGTAGGCTGCTGAGCTTAGGGTCTGTGGCCTGGAGGAGCAGGGAATTCAGGGGACAGGTGTTTGCCGGAGCCTTTGAGGTTAATTTCTCTGAGGAGTCTATTTTTATTAACGTCATATAGAAGTCAGTTGTAGATGGACGTTTCTGCCCTGCCCCATCCCACAGCCACTTAGTCCCAAATAAACACACAGCGGCTTATATTAACTATAAACTGTTTGGCCAATGGCTCAGCCTTCTTATTGTCTAGCTCTCTTTTAATTATTAACGCATTTCTATTACTCTTATGTATCTCCACATGGTCTTGGCTTGCTGGAGAAGGCCCAGGCGTCCTGCCTTCCCAGCTGCTACATGACTCCACCTCCTACTCTTCTCTATCCCTGTTTGGATTTCCTGGTTGGCTAAATCCTGCCTGTCCATTAGCCAAAACAGCTTTATTCATCAACCAGTAGGAAAAACATATATTCACACACAGTACATGGAAGGACATCCCCCTCAGTCCATGGAGAGACCTAATAAATGATTTGAGTCCATCGTGGGGAACTAGTGCATTTGTTAGATTCACCTACATCAGCATGGTCGACTCGGCCAAAAAAGAAGGCAGAAGGTAGTTCAGGGGAAGACAGAAGATGGAGAAACTTGAAGGTGTGTATAAACAGAGCATACAAAACAGTGAAGACGATCCAGGGCTGGTAACAGGACATTGCGGGAGGGGTCAGGAGGAAAAGCAAACGTAAAAGGAAGCCTGATTACAAGTAAAGCCAATGGGAATTCGTGTGGGAAGAAGAGAGGAGCCACATTTCTTGGCATTCGTTTTACTTGAAAAGTGGAAGGCATAGTTGTAGACTTCCGGGGCAGCTCGTGACAAGCAAAACTGACATCACATTTAAGGTATTTGTAGCTGAGTATGATGAAGATATACTCAGCAGAAGTGTTTCAGACACGGTTTTAGGTGGATCACTCACGGTTTGGAGCAGCTTTTCTGGAAAGGCTGGCTGTCCTGGGTGGTGTATAACAGGACAGAAAAGCCTTTTTAGGGGGTCGGAGAACTAAGAGCTGTCCTGTCTCAGAGCTAAGCTTTCCTAGGCGGGGTTATCATTGCCTTGTCTGCCATAGTTTATTGAAAAAAATCCATTTATGATTAGGTTTCTATGTTTGAGTGTGCATGTCAGTGTGTGTAGAGGCCAGAGATCTTTACATGCCATCCTCAAGAATAAGGCTAGACTCACGGCCAGCATACCCAGGGATCCCCATCTCAACAGCATGGGAATTAGACACATGTGCCACCATGGCCAGCTTTTCCATCGGTGGCAGGGATCAAACTCAGGCCCTCGAACTCGGCAGACAGACCATTTCCCAACTGAGCTGGCTTTCCACCTTCCCTCAGTTCTAATTTCCAACTGTGTCTGCTCCGTGGGGAAAGAGACTGGGTTTTTATACTCCGGAAGCTGCTGAGGTCCTGACACCCTCCCTACCCTCAGTTCACAGTAGAAGTCTTAGTTGAGCATGAACCAGACTCTAAATCATCACCATATTTTTTTATGTGTGTGGATCTTAAGGCTTACACTTTCGGTTCCCAACAGAACTTAATGGAAGCCGCTTCCTTTGAATCCTCTATCAGCTAAAGCCTTTACTTAGACCCTGGCGTTCTTCCTCGTGGCCACAGGGTGGCAGCAGCCGACCAGCTTTCCTCCGAGCAGAGCCTTTCTGAAAAAGAAACAAGAAAACAAAAAAAAAATCATGACAGAACACACATGCGTGCACGCGCCCCCCCCCCCCACACACACACACAAACTGGGAGTCATTTAAAAAGCAGCAATTGCTGAAAGTTGCCTCAGGCTGTTACTGGAGTGTGAGTAATTCATCTCCACACTGTGAAGTGTCTAGATGTTGTAGTACGCCTATCTGCCGTATAGACGGTAATGAGCCGCTGTCCCTCCTAGGTTCTACCTGATTGGCGGCGGGATCCCCATCATAGTGTGCGGCATCACCGCAGCGGCGAACATCAAGAACTACGGCGGACGGCCCGGGGCACCCTAGTGAGTACCTGCATCCCCTGTACCCCTGCCTGATCTCACTGCTTCTTGAGCAGTTGTTTGTAGACGACTTCACGGGTGATGGCAAGCGCTGCTGAGTGCTTTGTTTAAAATACAGAGAGTCTAAACATGTTCCCCACGTTCTCTCCTAGTTGCTGGATGGCCTGGGAACCGTCCTTGGGAGCCTTCTATGGACCTGCCAGTTTTATTACTTTCGTAAACTGTATGTACTTCCTAAGCATATTTATTCAGTTGAAAAGACACCCTGAGCGCAAGTATGAGCTCAAGGAGCCCACAGAAGAGCAGCAGAGATTGGCAGCCAACGAGAATGGTGAAGTAAATCACCAGGACTCCGTGTCTTTGTCTCTCATCTCTACATCCACGTTGGAGAATGAGCACAGTTTCCAGTCCCAACTTCTGGGGGCCAGCCTCACTTTGCTTTTGTTTGTCGCCTTGTGGATGTTTGGGGCCATGGCTGTTTCTCTCTATTACCCTCTGGACTTGCTCTTTAGCTTCCTTTTCGGAGCCACTTGTCTAAGTTTCAGTGCATTCATCGTGGTCCACCATTGCGTGAACAGGGAGGACGTACGGCTTGCGTGGGTTATGATGTGCTGTGCAGGGCGGAGCTCGTACTCCGTGCAAGTCAATGTCCAGCCCCCCAGCTCGAGCGGGACTAATGGAGAGGCGCCAAAGTGCACCAATAGCAGCGCCGAGTCATCTTCGTGCACAAACAAAAGCGCGTCCAGCTTCAAAAACTCTTCCCAGGGCTGCAAGCTGACAAACCTGCAGGCTGCTGCAGCGCAGCGCCACAGCAATGCCTTACCCGTGAGTGCCACACCCCAGCTTGATAACAGTCTGACAGAGCACTCGGTGGATAACGATATTAAAATGCACGTGGCTCCTTTAGACGTGCAGTTTCGAACAAACGTGCACCCGAACCGCCATCATAAAAACCGAAGTAAAGGACACCGGGCCAGCAGACTCACGGTGCTGCGAGAGTATGCCTACGATGTCCCGACGAGCGTGGAAGGAAGCATGCAGAATGGCTTACCTAAAAGCCGGCCAGGAAACAATGAAGGACACTCGAGGAGTCGGAGAGCTTATTTAGCCTATAGAGAGAGACAGTACAACCCACCCCAACAGGATAGCAGTGATGCTTGTAGCACACTTCCCAAGAGTAGCCGGAATGTTGAAAAGCCCGTGTCAGCTAGTAGTAAGAAAGATGCACCACGGAAGCCAACTGCGGCCGACCTTGAAAGTCAGCAGAAATCTTATGGGCTGAACCTAGCGGTTCAGAATGGACCAGTTAAAAGCAATGGGCAGGAAGGACCCTTGCTAGCTACTGATAGTACTGGTAATGTTAGGACTGGATTATGGAAACACGAAACGACTGTGTAGCATTGTTCCACACAGACGTTGATACAAACTGTGATACTCACATTCCTTTAAGCTATGAACCCTCAAACAAACTGTTTACAGATACCTTAGGGATTCACAACAGTTCCAAATATACTTGTGAGTTTTGGGATTTACTTATTTTATATTCCTAAATTGTTACCCCCTCCCCAAGAATTTAAAAATCCTTTAAAAAAAAAAAAAAAAAAAAAAACCAAAACATTGTTTTACTTGTCAAAGCACCAGTAAGATATTTTGAAAGTTGAAAATATAATTTCTTACAATTTGTTATATCTACTTAACATTTCAGGCTTGTATTTAATGAAATAAATAGGAGTTTGTTTTTGTGCCAGTGGCTTATTTTTACATTATAAAAAGCATTCTAGGAGCTGGTAAAGTGGCCCCATGGGTTAAAGGTGCTTGCCTTCCAGTCTGCTGGTTTGTGAGCTGTAAACCTAGCGCCCATAGGGTAGAAGGAGAAAACTCTAATAAGTGGTTCCCTAGCCTCCATGTGTCTACACACACACACAATAAATGGAATACATTTTATAGGCATTTTTAGCTCTATTTTAATAAAGTTTGTTTAGTGATGCCTTTTCAGGGTGAATCATGCATAAATAAATTATGAGATTTACTGTTGGCTTAACTGTACTGATTATAACATCTATATCAAGGGATTTCTGAGTTGATGTTTCATAAACACAGTTTTAAAGGTTACAAGGGTTTAAAAGACTCACAGAATAGATTTTAAGAACGGGAATACTGAGTAATCCGGTGTGTAAGTGACATAAATTTGCCGTAGCACTTTTATCCTATTGATATTATTTTCCCACAGCTCCTCGATGGTTTATGTGAGGTAAACTGTCCTTTACCTTCCCTTCCTTTCCCTCCTTCTCTCTTAAGGGTCTCATGTATCTCAGGCTGACTTCCAAGTTGCTGAGGCTCACCTTGAACTACTCTCTCTGCTCCTCCCAGTTGCCAAAATAGCAGATATATACCCCAGGTCCAGTTGATGTAGTGCAGAGGACCGGACTCGGGGCTTCGTGCACGCTGGGCAAGTATTATACCAACTCAGTGGCATGCATGTAATTGAGTTAACTTTCTTAGTGGCTGTTTTTGATGTGTCTGAGGGGTCCTGCACGCTCATGTCCCGGGCTCACATTCACTCTGGAGTCACCTAGATTGGCCCAGTGTTAACCTATGCTTTGTGCTTAACTGAAAGTGTTCTTTGCTCCATGCTAAAATAGTGGCCTATCTGATACAGAAATAGCATTAGTTGTCAGTGCTCTGTGGGCCTTAACCATTCAGGCGCCCAGTCTTACCAGATCTCTATCCTGTGGAATACAGTGCTAAGAGGAAGAAAAAAAAAAAATCACCTTAGCAATCAAAATCTCAAGGTTTGAATCCAATCAGACTCAGTAGCACATGTTCAAGAACTACTAAAAGAGGCAAGCAGCTTACCTTAAAGGTCTGACTCAGGTGCTCACTCACTCCCTGTGGGCTTCCTCGGCTGCCTTCCAGACCAACCATTCTGTGCTGTGCTAGTCTATTCTTCATATCCCTGCCGTGTTGCCGGAGAAACAACGGGTTTTGGGTTGCATTAATAAAACAGACACTTCCGTTTAAGCCTTCGTTGCATGTGATGTGAGCTCTTGAGCAGCCAGTAGGTTGCTGGGTGTGTACTCTTGTCTATTTTTCAGTCAACTGTTGGAAACCTGAAGTAGCCAAAGAGTCGAGTGAACGGTTCTGTTGTTGTTTCCCTGATAACCCTCAGTGTGTGAGCTCAGGGCTCAGCCTGTTTCTCTGTGCTAATGCCCCCCTCTGCCATGAGGGGAATGTCACTGTTGTTTGCTCTCTACCTCTCCATAAGAAACGAGGAGAACCGGTTGCTGAAAGCACTGTGTTCTGTCGGTGTTAGTAATCCAAACAACTCAAGCATCAGGGAGGAGGGGTTATAAAAGAAGCCATACAGTTGGAAAAAATGAAGCTTCTGCTTCTTGAATTGGGTTTTATTCTTTGTTGAGCCAGGGTGACTTGTGGTCCGGGTTCACCTTGAGGTCTCCATGTAGCTAAGGATGACCTGGGCTGCCTGCTCCTCCTGCCTCCATCTTCCAAGTGCTGTGGAAGATTCCACTATTGAGTGACAGTCGGGTCTCGCCTCAGGGGTCGGATACACAGTTCTCAATGGGGAGGGTTGTTCACATGGGAAGTGATGGGTAATGGCTTTCTGCATCCTTTGTATTTGACAATTAAAATTTGACGTTCCTGTATAGGGTATGAGTAATGCATTCCGTTTACCCCAACATTTGTCATTCATAATTTATGGTTTGTTGCTGACTGAAATGTCTCTATAGAATTGTAACCTGTTAACAGGCATTTCAGTCTTAGGGGTCAGCGTCTCATTTTTCCCATTAAAAAGATTTGACAACTGAGATTCCCAAATTTCTGAGGTTTTGGATTTCGGCTGAGTTTTACCATCTCTTGGAATCCAATGCTAAAGTAAATGTGTTTAGTATTTCAGGTAATTAACAGATTTCCAAACTTATGCTATGTTGCATATACATACCAGCATAGTCATGTTCGGTTCATGTAAGTGGTAGATGTAAATGGAAAGATATGTCTAGATGCTGATTGGACTCATTCTGGAGGAATAATGCTAAGGTTGGCTTGTGTGTTCCATGAGTAGAATTCACAACGCCTCAACTGAAGTTGGTTGAGAACACAAAAATGGGAGAAATAAACAGAGACTAGAACACAGCCTGTCGTACATGTGCACAGACTGGCCAAAAAGGTAAGGTCCTCCTACATCAGCCACTGGAGTGCTGTGATTGTAGGTGAGCATTACTGTACCTGGCTCTCAATGTAGTCAGCCTTCTCTACCGAGGTATCTGTTTTTCGTCTAGACTCAGCCAACCATGACTAAGATAGAATTTAAAGAACTGTTAGTGCTGAGCAGTGCAGCCTTCTCTTACCATGGCCTGAAGAGTCTAGTGTAACAATTGCAGATGTCCTCATGACACAGCGTGACATATGAGGTGGTCCAAGTGCGAGGCATTGGGGTCATGTGCAAGCACTGTGCTATGTGTGAGTGATATGGGCATCTGAAATTTTTTGGGGGGGAGGGGTCCTGGGAACGAGCCTCAAGATACAGAGGGATGAGTTACCTATTTTTAATGCAAGAGATGGTGTATTTGTAACTACTTATTTTAATGCTTTTGCAGTTCAAATTTTTCCATCCTTGCTTATTTTTTTTCTGTGGTGTTATTAACATCTATATTGAAGCATTCATGTGGATTGATGAAATCTTTTTGTCTTCACTGAACTCTAAGTAGTAATAAGCCCAATGGGTGTGTTTGCATATGCAAAGTAAACTTCTGAAGATAAAAACTGTAATTGTTCATGATTTGTCAGTACTGAAAACGTGAGTGTAATTGTTGTTCCTATTTCACCCGTGACAAAAATGAAGCTGCAATCAGAAGATTCTGTTCTTTGGATCTTTCTGAACATCTCCGCTGTTCAGCCATGTCTTTTATTGGCCTTTGGTCTCCGAGCTAACAGTATTGGGATATAGGGACATCCACTGATGTACATAATATGTAGTGTGTGCTGATGTAGCCCCCAAAAGTTACTTCTCCCTTTGTGTGCCCACCTTGATGGAACACAAAGGTAGTCAAGGAAGCCTTGAGTGAATGTGTTAAGATTGGATGAAGTGTCCCCAGCAAACACCTATCGCTTGACAAGGCACCACATTGTCAAGGATCTCAGTGTCTCAGACTCATGAGAGTAGCTAGCAGAGCCTTCCCCCAGGGTGATGCTCAAGTTAATGGCAAAGCCTTGTTCTGTTCTGGATGGGAATATTGACAGTTGAGTGTTTAAACAAAAGCTAACAGCTTCTCCCCAATGATTGCAACCTGAGGCTGCTGCCTTACAGAGACCTGAGTCTAGCTAGCCCCTCCCTCTGTACTGTACATTTTAAACTAGATGAGGTTCTACGTTTTGTCATAGTTGGTGCTGCTCCAGCAAAGCAAGCATGCCCCACCCTATGATCTCATCCTTTCTGTGTGTCTGTCCTTTTTTTTAATTAAGTTGTCACTGTAGTCAGGTCAAGTCGCAGCTGTGTGGACTTAGCAGCCTTTAGTCAGTCTCTGTTCACTGGAGATGGAAGAGATGGAGAAGTAGACATGGACTGTGAACCTACAAGACCATGCGGTATTAAGTAGCTCTCGTCGTTTTTGTAGCCAGTGACCATCCACTGCCCTGTCATACATATGGCAGAGTGCTTACCATTAATTCTACGTATCGCCTCAGTATCATCAAAGTAAACTTTTGCCTCATGCTGATCGAGACACAGACTGACCTTCTGCTTGTGTCCTATTTATGAAGTGAGTGTGTGTGTGTGCATGCGTGTGTGTGTGTGAGAGAGAGAGAGATCCATCATCTGCCTCTGCCATCTGGGGTAATCCATTATCTGCTGCTGCCATCTGGCCTGAGAAGATGCTGAAGACCATTAGCAAATATCCCAGGCATCTTTAAAAGGTATAGTGCAGGTTGTCTAAACAGTGTAAGGGATCCAACTAATAAAATCTTCCGATTAATAATCACTATGTCGTCCATAGCCTGGCATACGGTACGAATGAAGATTTGCTTTTACACACAGACGCTCACGGTTGAAGTGAGGGACAGTGTTTGCAAGATCGGAGTGTTTCCAGAACTAGTCAGGAGTTCCAGCCCAGCCTGAAACACATTGCCTAAGAAAGAACTGGACTCCAGTGCTGAATGGTGTTTTGTTAGCAACGTCCATTTCTTTATAAAAAGTAAAAAATGTTAAGTCAGTGATTAACTATGACTGATTCTGTTGCTTTATGAAAGTTCTTTGGTTGAGTTTCTGTTGCTATTGTTACTCTCGTCTTCTACTTTAGGCCTAAGTGAACAGACCACCAAAGGATTGTTCCTGAACTTTGGTCCTACCCGGTCTTCCCTTTGTTGTGGGATATTTGATTGTACTGTGAACCCTGAGACCGTTTTTAAATTCAGACCTGTGTCAGGGAGTAGAGCCAGCCAAATGTTGACGGGAACTAGCTAGAGTACAGAGGGCCTCAGGAACGAGTAGACAGGTACTTGGGGCGTCGTGGTCTTTTTGGTTTGGGACTGCTGGAGAGAGGCTCTCTTGCTGGATCTCCTGCCAAAAAGAAAGGTCAGCTGATTGCTGCTCTGCCTCTCTGAGCTGGCAGGTCTTTCACCGCTGACTCCTGAGTCTTAATTGGTAAATAGAACACTTTGCAGCAGAGCCAGTGTCCGCGCTAGTGGGGCTGCTGGAGTGCTGGAAGGTCTATCAAGCCCCAGCCAGAGTTG